TTAAATATTTACAAGGTTGTCCCGGGTGTCATAATGACGGCTGGTGTCATTTTTTTAATACTTTATGTGTCTTCTGAATATTTTTTTCAAATGAAGACCATTGTGATTTTTTTAAATTAGTTGCAAAACAGAAGTCTGTTTTCCATTTTGGAAATATGAGGTCATCAGCACTTGGGAGGCAAGGAGGGAGAGGGCGGAAGGAAGGAAGGAAGCCGGAAGCAGGAAGCAGGAAGCTGACAGCTCCTCTTTATGGGCAGATGGTTGCTAGTTAAGGGGTGAGCCCTGCATACCAGTCCTACCCAGCACCAGCTTGCACTCTGACCTTGGCAGGACTCTTCCTCTTTTGTGCCTCAGTTTCCCCTGAGGGTGAGAAATTGTCAGAGCTCCTTTTGAAACTGTTTTTGGAACAGGGTCGTGCTGAAGGCTCTGTCTGGGCCCTGAAACTGAAAGGAAAGCACAGTGTGTTGGTCCATGTTTGTAAGCCCAGCACCTGGGAGGCTGTACAGAAGACTCGACATGAGTTCGAGGCCAGCCTGAGCTACATAGCAAGACCTTGTCTCAAAAAACATTAAATAAATAGGAATTGGCTGGGGATTTAGCTCAGTGGCATAAGCGCCTGCCTGGCAAGCAACTAGGTCCTCAGTTTGATTCCTAGTGCCAAAAAAAAAAAGGAGGGGAGGAGAGAGAGGAAGACTGAGTCCAGATAGACCTCAGCTTGAAATTCACGAGCTGTGACCTGGGCCTTCCCGGGATTCCTACGGCCTCCTGGGGCAGGGGGAACAGAGAGGGACTTGTTGCTGAGAGGAACTCACCTCTGCCCACTGTGTTTTTTGGCCCTCCCACTCCTGGCCCTCACCCCAGTGCCTGCTCCAGGGAGCCTAGAGGCCCTGTTCTCCACTTTGAGGTCCAGACTTGGCCTGAAACTTCCCGGTCCACCCCCTGCTCTTCCCGCTAGCTGCCTGGAAACCCGCAGGGTCCCCTCCCAGGGATACCCAACCTGGGCCTCCGCATGCTTGAGTTCTCTTATTTGTCAGCACCATTTATTCAGGCACTGACTCTCACGAACCTCCCAGCGGTTCATTTTACTGTGAAAACTGAGGTCAGAAACGTAAGGTCATCCGTTCACAGCCGCACACCTCCCAGGTGATGGCTTTGACAGTCAAGCCAAGCCTGTCTGACCTCAAAACCCGAAAAGCAGGAGACAAAAATGACCACCAAAGCAGATAATGGTGGCGTAGGCCTGTCATCTCAGCACTCAAGGAGACTGAGGCAGAAAAATTGCAATTTTGAGCCCAACCTGGACATAGCTAGACCCTATGTAATTTTTTTTTAAAAAAATTTCAGGGGCTGGGGATTTAGCTCAGTGGCATAAGCACCTGCCTTGCAAGCAGGCAGTCGTGAGTTCAATTCCTGGTACCGATAAACATGAAAAAGGCAAAAAATAAATAAATAAAAATTTCAAAGGGCTGGGGAATACAGCTCAGTATGAAGGCCCTGGGCTCAGTCCCCAGGACCCCCAGTATACCCCAAAGCAGACATGCTCTTTTCTAGTATCATTTGCATCCTACAGGGTCTGTGAACCAGGGCTCCCAAGCTCTGGCCCCTAATCTCAGGTACCAGAGATGAGGGTTCCTACTTTGATGCATTTTCTCCAAACGCCCCTGAGGGTGACAGTGCCAGTTTAGATGAGTAGGTGGCCCCTGGGAGGTGTTTACTTGGCCCTCTGTCCTCCTTGAAGAGAGGTTTGAAGGTGGCTCTGCAGATGGCGAGGCACCATGTCCCCGGGAAGCCACCATCTGCTCAGAGCGCGTGGGACGAGCTGGCAGAGCCACCACCACCAACCCCGTGCTGGGCACAGCGCTCGGCCACCAGGGTTGGTGGGCTTGGTACTCTCTCTGGGCACTGTTCTCCTCTCGCTCAGCCTCAGCAGGGGCTGGGCAAGAGGGCAGGGGTGGCACTGGCTGGAGACCAGATGAGCCGAGCCTCCCTGGGGACCTCTTTCCTCCTACAGAACACCGAGCTGTGACAGTGGGTTCCAGGACCCACTGTGTTCCAGGCCACCATCTAGACACGGAGACCTGCTGGTCCTGTGCACCATCTGTCCAGGTGTGGGGCTAGGAAGCCAACCTCCTGGGTGCCAGTCCCATCTCAGCCACCTGCCCCGTGGCTGGGTCCTTGCAGCTGCCTGTCCAATCTGAGCCTTGGCCCCACCTTTGTTCAGTTTGTGGGGTATTTTGTTTTTGTTTTTGTTTTTTATGTTTTAAGACAAAATCTCACTATGAAGCCCAGGCCAGCTTCAAACTCACAGCGATCCTCCTGCCTCAGCCTCCCAAGTGCCGGGATTATGGGCCTGTACCACTAGGCCCACTGCCCAGCCCATTCTGACACAGACCAAGCGAGGGCCTCATTTCGAGAACCTGCGTCCTGACACCCCTGTGCCCACCCTGACCCCAGGAGAGCTTGCTCTTAGGACTCTGCCCCCAGGCATGGCCCTGCCCTCCAATCTCTGCCACTCCTCGGTTTCTCCTTGAAGCAGCCCAGAGCATGTCCTGACTTGAGGCAGGCTGCCCCAGACCCCTGACCACCCAGCCCCCTTCACTGTGTCCTGGGTTCTCCACCCTGTGTGGCACCTCCAGCCCACCAGAGCTGGGTGGACCATCTGCTCAGGGGGAGGCCTCCAGGGAAGGTCCACGTCTGTGCGTGGGGGCTCTGTGGGGAGTCCCATCCTTCTCAGCCCCTCCTATGGTTGCCACGGCAACAACAGTTGCCATGGTATTGCTGGGCAGAGAGCTGGTGGGAAAGAGGGTGGACCCCAGGCCCTCACACCCACTTCATCCACTGGAAGAATAGATGTCCTATCTCCACAGACCTGGGGGGACCCCCAAACTGGGGGATCATTCCCACAAAGAACTGCTAAGTAAAGGATGAGGGAGAAAGAGACAGGAAGTCCCCCACCCAGTGACTCCCTCCCTCTCTGCTGTGCGGCCACCTCCAGCTCACACCATCCTGCATCGCATTATCTGTTTACGTGCCCATCTCTCCCACCACACTGCGAGCAAGCGCCTTGGTGGGAAGCGAAGTGAGTCATCATCTCCATCCTGGGCCCACCACAGGGCCTGGCACAGCCCCAATTTAATTGAATTATATAAAAAGGCAAGTCTGAGCTGGGTGTGCTGGCACACGCCTGTAATTCCAGCACTCCAGAGGGTGAGGCAGGAGGATCACAGCAAGTTCGAGGCCTGCCTAGGCTACACAGTGAGTTCAAGGCCAGTCTGAACTTCACTGTGAGACCTGTCTCAAAGAAAAAAAGAAAAATAGGCAATTCTGACTCCTAGGGTGGGGGTGAAGCACAAACAGCAGAGTTTCCAGCCTCCAGGTTGAGCAAGCTGCAGGTCTGAATCTCATTTCTGGGGCTGCAGGGTAGCTCAGCACTTGCCTAGCCTGTGTGAGGCCCTGGGTTCAAATCCCAGTAGTGCCACAAAACAGCCAGGCATGGCCAGCACATGCTGTAATCTCAGCACTCAGGAGCCTCAGGCAGGAGGATGCAAGCCCAGCCTGGACAATTTATTGAGACGTCTCCAAATAAAAAAGGACTGGAGATGCAGCTCAGTGCAAAGGCCCTGCATTCAGTTCCCAGTACTGAGGGAAAAGAAGAATGAGAGGCACTTGCCTAGCACTAGCAATGATGAATAAATGCAGCGGCAGCCTCTGCTGTCCCAAAGTAGCATATAGGACAGCTCCAAGAGAGGCCTGGAACCGGGAAATCCTGGGCCTGTCTGCTCTCCCCAGACCTTTACCCTCAAGCAGGTGTAAGGGCACTTTGTGAATCTCAGTCCAGCCCTGGCTTTGAGCCAGGAGATGTGGCCTCTGTCTCTGGCCTTGTCTGACCCAGGCTGAACCTGAGCATCTGTCCCCCACCTTAGGTCTCTCGGAGGTAGCTGTCTGGATCTCTGGCTTGCTTCCCCTTTCCTAGGTCCTGGGGATCCCATGACTGCTGACTCTGACAGCCTGATTCCTGTCTCCACCCTAGCCTCCACCCTCAAGCTAGCCTGCTGGGGGAGGGATGGGGGCCAGAAGAGCTGTGGACAGAAAACTGGCACCCTCAGTAGTTGGCTGAAGCCCAGTGTGATGGTGCACACCTATAAACCCAGCATTCTGAGAGGCTGAGGCAGGAGGATTGCAAATGCAAGCCCATCCTGGGCAACTGACTTAGCTAGATCCTGTCTCAAAATTTAAAAAATTAATGACTTGGGATATAGCTCAGTGTGAAGGCTCTGGGTTCAGTCCCCAGGATTGTAAGAAAAAAGTTAACCCCAAGGACACCTGGGGTTGCCCTCAGCTCCTGGCTGAGACGTAGCCTGTCAGGTTTGGGGCCAGAAGGAACTGGGGCTATGGAAGGCTGATGACAGGAACTTGGCAGTGCAGAGAACCAGGGTCTGCTGTGTAGGAGGAACAGCTCTGGTCTCAGTTTTCTCCTCTGTAAAATGGGGAATCACGTTAGCACCTTCCTCCAGGCCTGGCATCGGATCTGTGAGCTGCACCCCCCAAAGTGGTCAGCATGCAGTAGACACATGGGAAGCCTGAGTTTGTCCCTTGCTTCCGCTGCCTGCATCTGCCTGCCTCGTCCTCGACCCTGGTCAGCTGAGGCCTGAGAAAGGGAAGTGAGAGGCTGTCCTCCCCACAGCAGAAGGGAGGGAAGTTCATGGAGCCCCACTTCCTGAGATCTGCTCTGTGGCCACCAGACACTTAGGCACGCGGGCCATCCTGTGCCTCAGTTTCTCCGGGCTGCATGCCAGTGGTTGGGGTGGGGCAGGAACTTCCTGGTTGGCTCAGAACCAACACAGACATATCAGAGGCAGCTGGGGAGCCACTGGCCTGGGCTGTTGGATGCATAAATTCTGTGACCCAAGGGACCTGGATCTCCAGAGGCAGGACAAGAACTCCCAGGTCATGGCAGCTCCTCGGACCTTAACCTTCCTCTGATCCCCCACTCACTACAGGGACTTCTTGCCCCGAGGGTCTGGCATTGTCACCCGACGCCCCCTGGTCCTGCAGCTGGTCAATGCTACCACAGGTATGTGCCCTGGATCACGGCCAGACCCAGCCTCGCCAGTCCCCGCCCCTTCCCAAGCTGCTAGCTAAGAACCTTTCAAGCAGGGCGTCGTCTCTCGCCTCTGGGCCTCTGCTCCCCACTGGGACAAGGGAGACCTGAGCTGCTGTGTTTGGAGATGAGGGGGGGTCCTCTATTACCGGTGGGACATGGGGAGCAGGTGAGGTTCTGTGATGCCTACTCTGGTTCCCTTCCCTGCTTCTGGGCAGAATATGCTGAATTCCTGCACTGCAAGGGGAAGAAATTCACCGACTTCGAGGAGGTTCGCCTGGAGATTGAAGCGGAGACAGACCGGGTCACTGGCACCAACAAGGGCATCTCGCCGGTGCCCATCAATCTGCGAGTTTACTCGCCGCATGGTGAGGACCTGGCCTCGCCCCACCCTCAGCTAATTTGTCTAGCCACGCCCCCGGGGAAATCCTTATTCTGTGTGGCCCCTCCCTTCAGGCTCCGCCTCCACAGCGACCACACCTCAAACTCCACCCTCTAATAGCCCCGCCCACCTCTGGCCACGCCCCCAACTAATTGCTATTTCAGCCCCGCCTGTCTTCCTAACCCCTGTCCAGTGCTGAACCTGACCCTGGTGGACCTGCCCGGAATGACCAAGGTCCCCGTGGGGGACCAGCCTCCCGACATCGAGTTCCAGATCCGGGACATGCTTATGCAGTTCGTCACCAAGGAGAACTGCCTCATCTTGGCCGTATCCCCTGCCAACTCTGACCTGGCCAACTCGGATGCCCTCAAGGTCGCCAAGGAGGTGGACCCCCAGGGTAAGTTTCTACCGGGCAGCCAGGGGGCGCTGTATTTTTATTTGGGCAGCTCCTAGAGAGAGTAGAATAGTTGCTCGATCCAATTTATGCCTTTAAAAATCATTTTGGTGGGGCTGGGGATTTAGCTCAGCGGCATAAGCGCCTGCCTTGTAAGCAGGCAGTCGTGAGTTCGATCCCTGGTACCGATAAAAACGAAAAAGACAAAAAAATCATTTTGGTGCCGGATGCAGTGGTTTGTGACTCTGATCTCAGCACTCCAGGAGGCTGAGGCAAAAGAATCACAAATTCGAGCCCAATCTGCGCAACCTAGCGAGGCCCTGTCTCAAAATTTAAACTGAAGAAGGATCTGGAGATGTAGTTCAGTGCAAAGTACCGGGATTCAGTTCCCAGTACTAAAAAGCAAAATTATTTGGGACACTCTGGAATGTAAAAGGGGGCAGCCAGGACTGGGCAAGAATGGGCAGGCAATGAGGGGAGCAGGGTCAGTGGGCATAGGGGTGCATGGGTCCCCTGTGTGAGCCCTCCCACGGCCCACCCCCAGGTCAGCGCACCATTGGGGTCATCACCAAGCTGGACCTTATGGACGAGGGCACGGATGCCCGTGATGTCTTGGAGAACAAGCTGCTCCCCCTGCGCAGAGGTGAGCAGACCGCACCCCTCCCAGCTCTCCTGCCCCTCCTCCTTCCCACTTCCCCCAAACCTGGTGCCCCTGACCTTGACTCTGCCCGAAGGCTACATTGGGGTGGTGAACCGGAGCCAGAAGGACATAGATGGCAAGAAAGACATCACAGCTGCCCTGGCTGCTGAACGCAAGTTCTTCCTTTCCCACCCATCCTACCGCCATCTGGCTGACCGCATGGGGACGCCCTACCTGCAGAAGGTCCTCAACCAGGTAGGGGAGCAGGCGGGACAGGGCCTGGGGAGCCCACCTGGGATAGGACAAAGGGAGCATGTGCAGTGGGGGGCCAGTGGAGAGCATGCCCAGCCTGCAAGCAAAGAGACCCAGAACAGCAAAGCAGCTCGACACTGCTCCACAGGGAAGTGGAGCACAGCTTGGCTGACCTTTACCTGCCTGGGACCTGTAAGGGGAGCCTTGTCCTGCAGGACCTTGTGTGCAGGGAAGATGGGTTTGCAGCCAGGAAGGGAGGACAGCTACTGGAGACATCAGTTTCCCCTGAGATGGGAGGCACTGTACTGGAGGCCACACCAGCTTTCCCAGGGTTTTCCCTCATCTGGAATGGGGCTTCCAGAATGTGTGGGTGCCAGGCACAGTGACATACACCTATAGTCCCAGACTTAGGAGGCTGAGGCAGGAGAATCTCAGGGTTGAACTAGAAGCCAGCCTGGGCTACATAATGAGTTCAAAGCCAGCCTGAACTACACAGGGAGACCCTGTCTCAAAAACAACAACAACAAAAAAAGACAGTCATAGGAGAAAGGTGGCAGGGAGGACCACAGACCTGGGTTCTGACCCCAACGTCTTTATTCTCCCACTGAAACATACTTTTCAACTGTCTGAGCCTCTATTTCTGCATCTGTAAAATGGGCATCATGGTGACCAGACTCTCTTTCAAAGGATCATCTTGAAAGTTAAGGGAGATATACTAGAGGGACCCTACCAAAAGGGAAATATTATTTTAAGGAAGGTCTGTATCCCAGGAGGTGTGGGGGCGGCCTTCAGCACTGCTGCCCCTGACGCATTTCACTCGCCCTTTATGGTATCAAAAAAAATACTAAGTTAGTTAAAGTGAGGTAATTTCAGCGGGAGACAGTGACACCCACCTGTAACCCTAGCTACTCAGGAGACTGAAACAGGAAGATTGCAAGTTAGAGGCCAGCCTAGTGGCAATTTAGGGAGACCACATATCAAAATAAAATATTTTTGAAAAAGGGCTGGGGATGTAGCTTAATGATAGAGGGTCCTCAGATCCAATCCCTAATACTGCCAGATGATAATAACAACAATTATTATTATTATAAAAATCAGGTAACTTCAAATATAAATTCAGATCTCTGGCTTGCTTGTGTCAAGATCTGAACTATATGCTTCCTAACTCAAGTAGCACACATCCAAGTGCCAGCCACACCCTCCTGGCATCTGCTCCTGCCTGGTGCTGTCACGTCTGGGTGTATAACTTCGGCCTTAACCCTTTCCTCACCTGCTTCCCAGCAACTGACAAACCACATCCGGGACACACTGCCGGGGCTGCGGAACAAGCTGCAGAGCCAGCTGCTATCCATCGAGAAGGAGGTGGAGGAGTACAAGAACTTCCGCCCCGATGACCCGGCACGCAAGACCAAGGCCCTGCTGCAGTGAGGCCCCCTGCCTCTACATCTGTCACTTCGCTGCCCCCTGCCCAGCCTCTCAGCTCCCTCAGCCCACACTGCTCTCCCCACAGGATGGTCCAGCAGTTCGCAGTGGACTTTGAGAAGCGCATCGAGGGCTCCGGAGACCAGATCGACACCTATGAGCTGTCGGGGGGAGCCCGAATTAACCGGATCTTCCATGAGCGCTTCCCCTTTGAGCTAGTCAAGGTAGGGTGGGCAGCCCCAGGGCCATCCCGAGCCCCTTCCTACCCAGGACTCTTGGATGTGTGCCTCCACTGACCCCTGGGAACGGGGTGAGCTCTTTGTCACCTCCCCTGCAGCAAGGGTGGCCCTGATCCGCTTTGTGTCTCTGCTCCCCTCGCAGATGGAGTTTGATGAGAAGGAGCTTCGGCGAGAGATCAGCTACGCCATCAAGAACATCCACGGCATTAGGCATGTATGGGGCGGGGAGCGGGGAGCGGGCCAGTCTTAGGAGGCAGGAGTCTATGCCGGGGCACAGGGAGTAACGCAGTGGGGCTCCCTCGGGAAAGGCCCCAAACCCCCAGCTCCAAGCTCAGTAGGCTCCAGCCAGCCAGGGGAGGTGAACAGGAGCCCGCTGCCTTCCCCGCAGCCTGCTGCCCCCTCTGCCGTCCCTGGCAGCAGGGCCTCTAAGCACAGGGCACAGGTGGCCAGGGAAACCCTTCATAGGGATGGGTCCCTGCCCTTCCCAGGGTCAGACACCTCTGCCCCACCACTGGGCAGGGCCAGGCAGAACCCTGGGTGGGAGTATGCCTCCCTCCCTGATGGTGGTAGCTTCTCCACCCGCCAGACTGCCCCCATTCCCCTTGGCTCAAGCCAGCCCTGCTTTCCCACCTTCCTCCTGGGCCACCCAAGGCCTGCGGGGGAGGATCGGGAGACAGACTGTGCCCCTTCAAAGCTTCGGCCCCTCTTCAGGGACCCTGATCTGCACCGTGCTCATTCAGTAAATGCATTCAGCAGAAAAAAGCCTAAAGCACCTGCCATGCACCAAGCAGTAACTGAGACCCTAATGGCCCTGCACTGGTGCAGGCTGAATTCCAAGCTTTGGCATGGAATTTAGACGGCAGTGACTGCATTGGTCAGGACTCGGGAACATGCGCTGAGTCTTCACATGAGAAGCTCTGTTCCTAGAAAGGCTCTTAAGGAGAACTCGGTTTAGCAATTTCTGAACCGTCTAGGCTAGAGAGAACCTTTTGTACGGACGCATAAAAGGAAGCAAGACAGTGTCATGTAGACCTTGTCTTGCTCCACAGAGCAGCAGTGAAGCCCCACCTTACCACCCCCTGCCCATTTGACAGATGGGGACGCTGAGGCTCAAAAAGGGCAGTAGGACTCCTCCAGGCACAGCTCAGGGGACTCCTCCAGGCACAGCTCAGGGGTCCGGGGGGGAGCCTGGCCTGGCACTTGTGGCAGGCACTGGCTTGTAACACTGTGCCCTTCTCCCGCTCTGGGCGTTCAGAACGGGGCTGTTTACCCCAGACATGGCCTTTGAGACCATTGTGAAAAAGCAGGTGAAGAAGATCCGAGAACCGTGTCTCAAGTGTGTGGACATGGTTATCTCGGAGCTAATCAGCACCGTTAGACAGTGCACCAAGAAGGTAACCCAGCTGACCCGGCAGCCCACCTCCACCCCACCGTGCACCGCTGCTGCCAGGCGCTCCCCCCCACACCCCCACAACCCGTGTCCCCACTGCCTCTGCGGCAGCATGTACAGACCCCAGCGGGGTAGGGGAGGCGAGGGGAATCCATTTCCAGCCCTGCGGATCACAGGTTAGACGCTGAGGGGACAGAGTTGATGGCTGGACCTTGGCCTTGAGCACCCACCGTGATCTCCCCCAGTTCAGAGAGAGGAGAACTTAGGGACCCTGCCGTACCCCCTCCCCGCACAGAGGTAGATCCTCTTGGGGTCTCCAGGGAGGGCTCCTGAGGAAACCTTGGCTGGAGACAGGTGAGGGGCAGGGCCTCCTTGGGTATAGCGCTGGGAACCTGGGAACCAGAGGGGTGCAGAGGCTCCAGGACTAGTGGTGCCAGGACCCTGCTGTCCTCCATTGCCCCATTGTCACCACCTTCACTCAGGCCCCTCGCTGAGCCACCCCTTCCATCCATATCCAGCCCTCCAGAGACAGAGCTGTCTCCCTTCCGCTGTGTCATTTGAGCCCCCAGGGCCTCACGGGGTGGCTGGGGCAGGGAGGGGATGCCCACTTCACAGAGGGAGAGCTGAGGCTTCCCACGGTGCCAGAGCTGACTCCGGCAGCCGGAGCTCTGGACTCGTGAGTCCAGGGCTCACAGATGGCACCCCCGGCCTGCCTTCCTCTCTGACCCCACTGCTGCCTCAGCCCCTCTCTGTCACCACCTCCACCCCTTCTGTCTTCCTTCTCTCTGTCTTTTGGAGCTGAATTCCACCAGAGCCCTTTGGGGGAAAAGCAAGGAATGCCCCTTGGAAAGAAAGGCAGGGGTAGGGTCAAGGCAGACCAGGGAGCTGTAGCATGGAGGCCAGAGTGCTCGCTGAAGCTCCTGGAGGCCTCCAGAGAGCCATTGGCACTGTAGCCTGCACAGCCTGGGCACCTAGATGCGGCAGCCCTGCTGGAAGTGGGGAACAGTGCTGGGCTTTGGAGTCGGGCTGAAGCAAATGCAAGGGTCACAGGAAAACTAGAACTTAACAGGATTGTGGGCAGGATCCTGGCCTTGTCCTGGCCTGGGTGAGCTCCTTAGGAAGACCCAAGGCCTCGACAAAAATGAGCCCAGAAAGGGAAATGTGAGCAGGCTTCATGTAACTGGAGGAAGAGAGGGCAGCCATGGGGAGCAGAGCTGAAGCCAAGAGGGGTCTTGTACCTGTGGAGCAGGGGCCTGAGCCCCAAGCCCTCTGGCTGTTTGGCACCTGGGAGGTGCGACCGGGTGGTGGCAGGGAGGGCAGGGTCCCGCGCTCACGTTGTCTTCTGTTCTCTCTTTCTCTGTGTCGATGTCTCTCTCTGCCCCACACCTGTGCCATCCTCCCCACCCCGGAGCCCGACCCGCTTGGCTTCCACTCCCTCCTCCTCCCCACCTGCCCAGCCGCTCCTGCTCACCCTCCCCTCGCCCCCACTCTTCCTCTTCCTCCTCCTCTTCCTCGTCCTCCCCGGGTGCAGGACGGGCCTCTTCACACCTGACCTCGCTTTTGAAGCCACAGTGAAAAAGCAGGTGCAGAAGCTCAAAGAGCCCAGTATCAAGTGTGTGGATATGGTAGTCAGTGAGCTCACGGCCACCATCAGAAAGTGTAGCGAAAAGGTATGGTGGCCACCTGCGCGGGGCTGGGCCCAGCCGTCCCTTCCTTGTGGCCTCGGCCTCATGCGGGCAGAGCCATCTGCCCAGCAGATCTGGTGGCCTCTGAGCCCCGCAGGGACCAGACTCCCTCACGGCTTATAACCCTGGGTCTCCCTGCCCTGTGGTCCCTCTAGGCCCAGTCCCTGCCAGAGGACCGGTCTCTAATTCAGGCTTCTTTAGCAGCCCCCTTCCAACCAGCTGACAGCCAGATGTGGTGGCACATGTCTGTAATCCCAGCACTCAGGAGGCTGAGGCGGGAGGATTGCTTTAAGTTTGAGGCCAGCCTGGGCTACTTAGTGAGTTCAAGGCTAGCCTGAACTACTCAGAGAAACCCTGTCTCACAAAATCAAACAAATAAACAAAGAATCATAATGAGGACCACCATACAATACTGGAGATGGCCGCTGTTTACTGAGTAGCTACTGTGTATGAGCACCAGGCTAAGTTCTGCCCTGACCATCTAGCTTAATTCTCCCACCATCCCTCAGAAGTGGGAGATAGCCTTATGCCCATTTGACCAATGACCAGAGACTCTGAAGGGAAAAGCAGATTTAGGAAGGGGTCAGGGGTCAGGGCCTCCTGAGGTGGGGGAGACATCAAGCCAGTTTGCCTAAAAATATGTTGGACTATTCCCCAGGAAGCCATGCTTATGAGCAGGGTCGGCCTCCTTTGAGCCCATGACCTCTTAGATGCCTCTTTCCTGTTCATCTACTTTTGGGGTATTTTGAGGATTTTCTGCTGGGTCACCCAAAGCAGCTCTTTATTTTCCCCCCTGGGTGTGAAAGGGAATCCCCTGGTGACAGGAGGTTTAACAGAAACGAGGCACAAACCCCCAGCTCCAGCCTCTCCAGTGTCTGAAGAAGCCCCCTGTGCTTCGGGGCGGTGCTCAGCAGCATCACCCCGATTCTTTGCTGCAGGCCACTGTGCTGTGGAACCCCATAAACTGCCACGGAGTGATGGGTCCTGGGCCTTGAACTGCGGGGCTCACCCTGTCCTGTGTGCAGTGCTGCCCTGTTCGCCTTCTGGCTTAACTTCTGTATTTCTCCAAATCTTTTCTTTCCTTTTTTTTGTCTCCCCGTGTGGCTGAGGCTGGCCTTGAACTTGCAGTGATCCTGAGCTCCTGATCCTTCTGTCCCAACCTCCCAAGTGCTAGAATTATGGCTATGTACCACACCCAGCCAGCCTCTTTCCTTCCTCTCTTTCTTTCTTTTTCCTTTTGGGGCGCTACCACAGGCTGAACCCAGGGCGCGCTGCAGATGTTCTCCCACTGAACCATGTCAGCCTGTGTCAGGCTTTTTTTAATTTTGGGGGTCTTGATATGCGTCTCAGGCTGGCACTGAACTCAGTCCTCCTGCCTCAGCCTCCCCAGTAGCTGGATTACAGGTGTAAGCTATCATATCTGGCAAAATCCTCTTCGTTCTTTTTGATATATATCCATTGGTTTGTCTGTTAGATTATCACACTGTGAATTAGCATCCTGCTCGTTCTCCTTAAATAAGAGGCATTGGGGGAGCAGTTATTACATCGTCTACATAGTTTTCAATGATTGTGTGAGCATCTAAGAAATAGATTTAGTATTGTGGTTCACTTAACCATGTTCCTACTGCTGAACATCTCAACAGTTGTCAGTTTTTCAGTATTAGAATAAATAACCTGGTATTGAACGTCTTTGTATATGAAGAGGTGTTATTTTTCTTTCTCTAGGATTATTTCCTAAGGCTAGATTCCTAGAAGATTGATTACTAGATATAAACAGTTAAAAGCTGTAGAATGCTTAGCGAATTGAGTTCCAAAAGGAGAATAATAATTTTTGTCAAGGGTAAAATTTTGAAAACAATCCAGGTACCCATCAAGAGGAGATCAATAAATTCAGTCAAGATAGTGCACACCTGTCATCCTAGCATTTGGGAGGCTGAGACAGGAGAGTCACCACCACAAGTTCAAGGCCAGCCCAGGCTACATAGTGAGCTTAAGACAAAGCTGAACTACATCGTGAGATGCTCAAAAAAAGAAAAAGAAAGAAAGAAAAAAGGCAAGGAGCACTGGAATCTTTCCATTTCTACTTCACAAATTTTATTCATTCAAATAGTTGTCTGTATAATTTTTATGAATAGAAAATTTGTTTAGCAAAAACTTTGATCTAAAAAACAGGGGAAAAAAAAAAAAGGTGGACACAGTGGCTCACATCTATAATCCCAGCCCTTGGGAGGCTGAAGCAGGAGGATTGCTATGAGTTAAAGGCCAGCCTAAAATGCATAATGAGATCCTGACTCCAAATAAATGGCAGGAAAATAATATTTTTGCCTTGACTTAACAGTACCTTTTTTTTCCCCCTTAGTACCGGGGATCAAACTCAGTACCTCGTGCTTGCCAAGTAGGTGCTTACACTGCTGAGCTAAACCCCCAGCTCAGTATTTTTCCTTAGTAGCAAAATTCACCTTTTTTTCTCCTCCACGAGTTTTTTTAAGCATAGCAAACCAATCCTGTGAAAAGTTTGATAAAAGTTTAATCACTGCTAGCCCTGCCAGGATTAGACTTTTCATCTCCGGATGAAATTTAAAACTTGAGGCTGGGTATGGAATAACTGCTACTCAGTTATCTTAAGAACCCTAAGAGGGAAGTCACCTTTTGGCACATGGGGAAACTGAGGCTTGATGAGGTCTGGGCACCTTGTAAGGAGAGCAGCCACGAAGCCAGGGAAGTCAGGGCGCTGTGGCTCCAGGAACCTCACTCCCAGCCACTAACCAGCGGGCTCCCCGTGGCCTGGCCGCCCACCAAGGCCAGGGGAGGAAAGTTCCATTTTCAAAACTGGCTAAAAGTGCCAGCAATGCTCCCAGGCAGCAGAATGGAAAAAGAGGCTCGAAGGGAACAGTACTCCTCAAAGGGGCTGAGCTGTCCCACCACGGGTGACACGTGGAAAAGTTGAGAGACGTCCCTTGTCGGTGACTGGTGGGAAAACTGGTCATGCTCTTTGGCAAATGTGCTCCCTCCTCCCTTCTCGTCACCCCACCCTGGCCCTGCTCTGGGAGGGAGCATCAGGACCATCTCAGAGGCCCTAAGGCTGTGACTCAGTTTGTAATGTCTGCCCAGATCAGAGACTGCCAGGAGTGGGGGCAGGGGTCTCCCTTGAGCCCTAGGCCTTGGAGGACAGTGGGTCCATGGGGCCCTGGGCCAGCAGTCCCCTCCCCAGGCCTCTGGTGCTCCCCTACCCCGGGCACCCCTTTTAGCATAGCCACTGGCCTGACCTGGCCTGCAGGGCAACACTTTCTTCCCTGTCCTCCTGGCTCCTCGCCCCCATCGTTCCTTGAGGTGTACTCCAGTAAACCAGGCACGCCACCCCTCAGCTCTGGTTCTCGTTTGGGGCGCCCATCTGACCCCAGACACAAAAAAAGGACAAGGAAGCTGGGCAGGAGGCACGTGCCAGGATCACTACAAGTTCAAAGCCAGCTGCACTTCATGGCAGGACCCCCATCTCCAAACAGGGCTCACATGGGGAGGGCCAGCAGCCTGCGGGGCCCACGGGTGAGCTCCGCCGTCAAGGCTCAGTGAGCCTCCCTCCTTGAGGGCTGGAGACCCTGTGCCCGCCACCCGGAGGACATCCATCCTTCATCCATGCCTTCATCCCCTCAACATGCCCTCTCTGAGCACCGGCCTTGTGCACAGCCCCTCCCTGCCCCCCAGACTGGGATGGAATAGGTCAGGGCAGGGGAATCTCCTAGCTCAGCTCTCCGCGCTCCTGGAAGAGGTGGCAGGCAGCGGACACTTGCAGCAGAGTCCATCACCTGGGCTTTGTCCGAGCCTAGCTGAGCCGAGCGCAGGGTTCACAGGGGAGGGTATGGAGCAACTGGGGGAAAGAGATGCTGCTGGGCTCCCACCCCAGGGGAGCAGGGTGGAGACAGCTAGCGGCTGGGCAGAGGTGGCCCAGGACGATGATGGTAGTCGGGCATGGAGAGGGGCAGGCCCGGGTGGACCGTACCATCAGGGCCCAGCCAGGCCCCGCGGGGTACTGCTCATGCTGCTGGCACCCTCGCTCCGCATGCGCCCGCCCCCCGCCCCCCCCCCCCCCCCCCGTGCCCTAGCATGCCTGTCCCTGGCCCCTGCATGTCTTCCGGTGTGACTGCTAGTTTTCCCCGCGATGCCCCCAGCTCTGACAAAGAGCATCGCCTGTCCCCAGCCTGACTCAGAAGGGCCCCTGGCACCTTGGGCCCTGCCCTCCCCATGCCCCGGCTAGGACTCCGGAGGCTGCATGGGAGGCCCTGTGGGTCCGGAGGCCTTGGAAGCCAGCGCTGGCCCACAGCCTGTGTCCACCCGCCGCCGGGTCAACTCCCAGACGGCGCAGCGCAGGCTGGTTCCCGGGCGGTTCAACCCATGGGCACCGCCCTTCCCGCCCGAGCTGCCCAGGCAGGCCGGAGAAGAGGGCCTGGAGCCAGGGAACCCCGCAGATTGCCTTTCGGAGAAAGGGGTGACCAAGGCCTGGTGCCATCCGCTTCCTGGAAGCCCAGGGCCCTCTTCCCCGCCCGGTGGGCCTTCTGTGTGTGCCTCCCGCCCACCCTGGACCCCGGGACTCGGGAGGGCGGCACCCCCTGCCCATGCCCGCTGTGTACGTGGCGCTCTCCCCTCCCGCCCCCACCCCAGCTTCAGCAGTATCCGCGGCTGCGCGAGGAGATGGAGCGCATAGTCACCACCCACATCCGGGAGCGCGAGGGCCGCACCAAGGAGCAGGTGAGCCCCCTCTCCTGCCCCTGCAACGCGCCCGTCTGTGTGTGCGTGCGTGTGTCTGTCTGTCTGCCTGCCTGCCTGTCTGTCTGTCTGTCTGTCTGTCTGTCTGTCTGTCTGTCTTTTGAGCTAAGGTCTTGCTCTGTAGTTCAAAATGACCTCGAACGCACAGCGATCCTCCTGCCTCAGCCTCACGAGTGCTGGGCTCACAGGGGTGCACCATCATGCCTGGCCTTCTTCCTGTTTTGTCTAAATGGTCTTGGTCTTGGTCTTTCTCTTTCCCTTCATACTGATTCTTTGTTCTCTCTTTTTTATGACGGTGAAATATACATCACCAAATGTACCACTTCGGACATTTTCGAGTGTACAGTTGAGTCTAAGAACCTTGCAGTCTGCTTTCTCCTTTCTGTCCGCCGGAATTTGTCTACCGCAGGTTCCTCACAGAAGTTAATCACGCAGAGTTTGTCTTCTGGGTCTAGCACGAGTTACTTAACATGATGTTGCCTGGATTCATCTGGACTTCAGTGTGTGCTAGAATCCTGTTCCTTTTTTACCTGTGAATGATGTTCTGTTACCTATTCACTTGAGTTGTTTCTATCTTCTGTAAAAGTGGATGCACAAATATCTGTTCAAGTCCTTGCTCTCTATGGCTTTTTATGTGTACCTAGAAGTGAAAATGCTCATTCTTGTGATATTTCTAGGATGTATCTTTTTTCTTTGCTTTTTTTGTTTCAGTACTAGAGATTAAACCAGTAGTAGAGCTATATCTCAACCCTTTTTATGATTTATCTGAGGCAGGCTCTTTCTAGGTGGGCCCAGATTGACCTTGAATTGAGACTTCCCCTGCCTCAGCCTCCCAAGTGCTGGATTCCAGGTGGATTCCACCATGCCCAGCTATATGCTACCCTTCTTTTAAAGAGCCACAGTTCTGTTGTGCTCTCTAAAGACACTTGTAAACCTTAACCTCTGTTCAGTGCCTGTGACTGGCCCCTCTCTGTGGTCTTTACCAGTCCTGTGGGAGGCTGGGCTCAGTGAGGACAAACCCAGGCTCATAGGAAGCGGCAGGCAGGCTGCTTCCAGGAAATCCCTCTCAGCAGAATTCAATGACTCAATCACGAGTCCCTGCACACTAATAACTTGTGGGCGTGAGGCGGTCTTCCGTAGCAGAATCTAAAAATTCTTACTCTTTCGAACAGCTGCAGAGTGCTTCGTGGTTCAGAGTACTACAATCTCTTCAACCTTCTGATGGCTTGCTCTGAATTTTTCTGTATTGTAAATCATACTACAGCTACATGCAGTGACAGGAGCCTATACTTCTACCTACTGGGGAGGCTGAAGCAGGAGGATTACTTGAAACTAGGAATCTGAGACCAGCCCGGGCAATGTAACAATACCCTATCTCAAGACAAAACCTTATGCTACCTTAAACACTATGGTACCTGTGTCTGTGTTCATTTCATGAGTTTATCTGTAAGATGCAATCTTAGGAGGGGGTCTATGCATTTCAGTGTTGCTAAATGTTGGCAAATTACCCCCCCCCAGAGCATGATGATAATTCCACTTCTGGGGCTGGTGGTGATGCTCAGAGGTGCTTGCTTAGCATATATGCAATGTTCTGGGTTCAATCCTCACCATGGGAAAAAAGATTATGCTTCTGAGCCAGGTATAGTGGTGCGCACCTGCATCCCAACACTTGAGAGACAGAGTTAGGAGGATTGCCATGAGTTCAAGGCCAGCCTGGAATATTTAGGGAGACCTCAATCTCAAAAAACAAGCAAGGATTATACCCTTCCAAGGGCATACGAGACAGTCCATCTCCCTGTATTCACGTCTACACTGATCATTACCAATGCTGATCGTTGTTAGGTAGGTTTAAAAGGATCTCATTGTTTCAGCTTCCATCTCTTTATTAGTGAGAAGGAGCAGTTTTGCCAGATCTTTATTGTTTACATGGGTTTCTTCCCTGGGTCCCCCATTCCATGTTCTTCAGCTGTTTTGCCTCATGTTCCTTCTGTCTTTCACTGATCGGTGTCACAGTCGCTATTTGTTTATTAAGGACCCTAACCTTCCGTATGTGCCCCAAGGTTTTTCTCCCGGCTGCCCATGCATTTTTAAACTCTGTGGTGTCTTTTCCACTTGCACGCTGCCCTGGGCGCCCCCAAAGGTCATGCTTCTCATCGATATCGAGCTGGCTTACATGAACACCAACCATGAAGACTTCATAGGCTTTGCCAAGTGAGTGCTTTGCGGGCAGGGCAGGGCACTGTCAGGTGCGTGTGGGTCAGTGTGTGTATAGACCAGGGCCACCAGGTTAACTCTGAGCAGCGGCCGAGGCAGCCTGACCTCTTGAGATGTTGAGACTCCTCCCCTCCATCCCATTAGTGCTCAGCAGAGGAGCAACCAGATGAGCAAGAAGAAGGCTTCCGGGAACCAGGTGAGTGCGCCCCCACACCCCAGCCCGAGGGATGGAGGGTGCCCGACAAAGGACACGGAGCTCTGAGAACTCCCCTCCCCAAGGGCAAGGGTTCCACGGGGCCAGGGAGCCTGTCATCTGCCAGCCACAAGCCTCCCATTCTGCCTCAGTAACCCTCTCTCCTCTCTCCCGATGCTTCTCGTGGTTGCTATGGTTACCTCTTTGCAGGATGAGATTCTGGTGAGTACCAGGACTGGGGCTCTGGGCTCATGCAGTGAAGGGGAGGAGGGGGTCCACCAGTAGCTGGGTCCCACAGAGGGTAAGAGGGTGCCTTCTGGCTTGAGCCGCCTGCACACGCCAGCACATGAGCCTCACATAACTGCTTCTGGGCAGATGCAAGGCCCAGCCACGCACAGTCCCATCTGCCCATCCATCCCTGTGCAGGAACCAGGCTCCGCTCCACGCAGAGCTGGACCTTGCGGGCGTGGCCTGGTGCTAGGTAGGTGCTCCTTAACAACCTATCAGTGCATGGCCGGGTGAATGGACGGGCAGATGGCTATGCCACAGACATACTTAGGAAGCTGACGGCATCTCCACCAGAAGGTTGAACGAAGAGACGAATTCGAAATCAAGACAACTCCCTCTGCAGCTGGCCCCCTGCTCTTTCTGTCCCTCAGATGTCGGTAGAAACCTTCTCGCATCAGAAGCCCCCACTCCACCCCAGTTGCACACAGGCGCCTAAGGCCTCAGCATTAGCCCATGAGCTCCAGAGACTGCTGTGGCCTTGCAGGAAGCTATGTGTTTGTGTGGTGTCCAGCTCCCTCCTGGACTCCACAGGCAAGGCTGGGTCTGTCTGGTTCACCACAGAATGAAGCATGAATGTGTGTAACGTCACAGGGCACCTGCGCTGAGACCGAGACCTAGGCAGGGCCCCAGTGAGGCCCCAGAGTCCCAGGCAGGGTGGAGGTCTCCGTGCTGAGGTAGGGACTAGGAAAAAGGGAGCCTGGACAGTCTGCATGCTGAGCCTCTTCTCTCTGTCTTCCTGAGCCTGACTCAAAGATTCAGGAACGTTACACTCACCCATTCATGTCATCACTTACTGCCTGCAGGGAAATGCTCATGAACAGGACAGTCCATGACTTAAACGAGATGTGGCACACACCTGTAATCCCAACATTCAGGAGGCTGAGGCAGGAGGATTGTTTTGAGTTCAAGGCCAGCCTGGGCTACACAGTGAGCTCAAGAGCAGCCTGAACTGCACAGAGAGAACCTGTATTTAAAAAAAAAAATACACACACACAGAGATATATCAAAATTATAGTCACCGTTATATAGAAGAAGACTTAAGAGAGTGATCAAAGATTATTACTACAAGGATCAAGATTTACACAGGACTATTCCTGGGAATACAAACTCTGAGCTGATACCCACAGGCTGATTTAGGTATTTGCCAGGCAAAATTACTTTTTTTTTTTTTTTTTTTTGTCTTTTTCATTTTTATCGGTACCGGGGATCGAACTCACGACCGCCTGCTTGCAAGGCAGGTGCTTATGCCGCTGAGCTAAACCCCCAGCCGCAAAATTACTTTCTAGGCAAAGGCAACAGCAATGTGTGCAAAGTCCCTAAGGTCAGAATCAAGTTTTAGACTAGATTAGACTCTTTTTATTTATTTATTTATTTATTTATTTATTTACTGCCTTTATGAGACAAGGTTTCACCATGCAGTTCATGCTGGCTTTGATTAAGGCTCACTTTGTAGCCCAGGTTTTGAACTCATGACAATCCTCCTGCCTCTGCCTCCTGAGTACTGGGATTAAAGACGTGAACTACCACACCCAGTTTAGATTTTAAATTTGAAACACACTTGGAGTCATCTCGCCCAATCAGCTACAAAATTCTGCTTGCACACTTTTAGCAATGGGGAGCTCACCCCCTACCAGAGTTGCCAGTCCCTCATTGAGGCAGAAGGCTCTGTACCCTGAGCTGTGCTCTGCCTCTTCTGTCTTTCTCTGATTCTTTGGGAGTCAAGCAGGCTGGCCCCCACTCACCCTGACCAGCTGGGAATCTGAGCACTGAAGCAGGGGGCTTTCCATGCCTCTACTTGCCCACCCCTCCTCTGTGGGGAAGCCCCACACTGACCTCCTGCACCCTCCCTGCCTCTCTGCCCAGGTCATCCGGAAGGGCTGGCTGACCATCAACAACATTGGCATCATGAAGGGGGGCTCCAAGGAGTACTGGTTTGTGCTCACTGCCGAGAACCTGTCCTGGTATAAGGATGACGAGGTGAGTAGAGGGGCCAGTGCCCATCACAGGCTTGGGCTGGTGGCAAGGGGTGGATCGGCGCAGGACAAAAGGAGACTCATGGGTGGAGGCGGGGTGTGGGGACCAGCAGTGAGCAGTACTGGGGGCTCAAGAGGGAGGTGCCCTTCCCCCCTTCCCATGTCGGCAGGAGAAGGTGGCCTGGCAGAACCAGAGACGTGGGGCCCAAGCGTCCTGGAGAGGGTGGGCAGGGGCGCTGGGTGCCCCTCCCTGCCCAAGCCCAGGGGCCTTCCTGTTTTCTCGCTGCAGGGCGAGCCGCCTCCACCATGGCCCCCACAGGCCATGACACATACAAGTCCGGCTGCCAGACACCCAGTTAACCCCTGCACCCCAGCCCCCTAGGACGCTGCTGTCCAGAGGAGCCATACAGGGTGCCCCTAGGCCAAGGGGCAAAGGGTGATGGTGCCCTGCAAGGCCACCCCCTTAAACACCTCCCCACCCGCCCGCTAGGCCAGGAAGCCCCTAACACTCCCTCCCTACTGCTGGTCTCCTTTAAGAGTGAGTCTGTTTGGCTTCCACATCTGGATTCCAGAGGTGACCAGAGAAAGCAAGGAGGGTTGGGGGGGGGGTGCTAATGAACTCCAGCTGGCCAAGGAGTGGGGGAAGGGACCCTCTTCTTCCTGAGGGGGCTAATGGAGATGGGGTGCTCGCAGTGAGGTAACAGGGCTGGGGTACAGTGATTTTGCTCTCTGGGCCCCTTCTGGGTCCTTGTCTCTGCTAAGTCTGTCCTGGGCAGGGTTCCCACCTCCCTGCCTTGGGTGGGACCTCTGTTGTCACCAGCAGGGGCGCCAAGGCATCTGGACCTCATTACCCCAACCCTGGCCTCTCCCCCAGCCTGGGGGCCCCTGAAAGAGATAGAGGTTGAGGTGGTGAGGGACATGGGCTGGGGGTTGGCTTCCTGCTGTCACCCTGGCAGGCTCCCTAGACATCCCCGTGAGTCTGGGGTTCCCATATCAGGGCTGTTTACATGGGGTCAGGGGCATGGTGTGAGCTGGGACCTTGGGCCACGCCTGACCACCCTGGGGAGGGATCAGCATCAGCGAAGGGTCCTCTGTCCTCATGCCCTGGATCTGTTCTGAACCCCATGTGTGCCTCTGGGGTTAGCTGTATGTGGGGCCACTCGTGGGCGTGTGTCTTACGGATGCTATGAGGTGTTTTGTAGGTGAATGTATTGGGGTAGAAGCTCCAGGTGTGAGTGTGTGCTTGCAGTGTGACCCCAGTGTGTGTGTGATGTCTGGGTGAAAGAGTGGGGCTGGGGAGTGGGCTTGGGAGGGAGGCTCTGACTCTGGGATTTTTGAAAATTCGGGTTTATGTTTGGGAATAGGAGGGTGGGGGAGGGGCCAGTTCCATTGTAAGGCTGTGTGTGTGTCTGGGTGTGTATGTGTGCGTTCGTGTGTGTGCCCTTGTGATGTGCATGTGTTCCTGAGGTAGGGATGTGACTTTTAAAATCTAGGTACGCAGAAAAATGTGCCCCAGCTGTCATGGAGTGAGTGTCAGGGTGCACAGGCAGGGTGTCCGTGGATTTTTTTCGCTAAGACCACGGGGTCCCAGAGGTAGTCTGGGCTTAGAATTGGGGGGGCGGTCTGGCCTCCCCCTCCACTCAGCCACCTGCCCTCTGGTCTTGGGGTGAGGCAGGCCCTTAGGCAGACAGGCAGTTGCCCACACCCGCCACCTCCCCGTGAGCCCTGTCTTCTCTGTCGTCCTCCCCTGCCCGCCCAGCATCACCACCAACCCAGCAGGGTGGTACCCCCATCCCTCTGCACCTCCTTCCCAGCCACCCTGTGCCCCCCAAAATCCCTGGCCCTGGCTCCAGGTTCCGGATCTGGGATGGCAGGTGGGGGTCTGTCCAGCTCTCCAACGGCGGCACCGAGGGTCTAACCCAGCCCAGCCTAACCAATGTGCAGACTACTGTACAATTTGGGAGTCCTGAACAGATAGTCTAAACACTGGGTAGACGGAGTGGAGGTGTCCTCTGGTTCATCCGGCAGCAGTGTCTGTCCGTCCATCTGGTGGGAGCTTCGACCCCATCCCCTGGATATCCAAGGCCCCCCAGCCCCAGCCTGTGTCCTCCCAGCCGGTCAGCCGCGGTCCCTCTCTCTGCGACTCCCCTTCTGCCTCCTTTGACGTGGCAGGGGTGAGCGGGAGCTGGGCGGGGAGGAGGGGCCTGGGGAGGGGGCCGGCGGCAGGAAGGGAGGCCTGGGGGCGGAGGCCGCTCCCACCTAGTGTCCAACCCGAAGCGCAGGCGGTGGTGGTGGTGGTGGTGGTGGCGGCAGCGGCGGCGGGGCCTCCCTCAAACGGTTCCAGATGTTCTCTGGCCGCGTGTGCAACTTCCTCCTCTCCTCCCCCAGCCGTCCTCTGGGGCTCCCGGCCACCCGCCTGGCATAAAGAGGGCTTTATGTGGCTGCAAGGGCCAGGCGGGTATGAGGGGCCGAGGGGGTGGGCAGGATGACACCAGGGTGGAGGAGCAGGGTCCCCCTAACCCAGCCCCCAATCCGAGATCCTGGAGGAGTCTTGTGCCTGAGCCCTTGGAGCCCACAGACTTTATCCCTCCACCAAAGCTCCCGGCAAGCAGCAGGGTACAAGCAGCAGGAACCCCTCCCTACTCCAGAACCCCATCATGGGGTACCTACAACTTCCCAGGACCCCTGAACCCCTCCCAAGGAACACAGCAGCCTGCAGCCACATGTCCGTTCCCAGATGCACATAGTCCCTTCCACACAACTCTAGATAAACCAAACACGTCTAGCCTCTTGTGCAAGCTGTACGCAGGTGTCCCCACGGTATGGGTTCCCTGAGACACCCATGCGACACAAGGCATGCACAGTTGCCATATGTAACCACAGAGTACGCAGACCTCCACAGGATACACAAACGTAGCTACACGGACTCCTGAGCACGTTGGACACCTCCCTGAACCCACGTTTGCGCACACACTCATGGTAATACTTGGGACACTCATACAACTAAATGTGTACACATACAACCACACACGTGCACATGCAGACACACACATGCATGCACACGCACACACACACACACCAACTCCAGGCCTGTGCTGTGTGTCTGGTCACTACCAGCTGGGTGGCCAGGAGGAGTGGGCTGGCAGCCTCCCTTCCCTGGATTTGCAGTCTGAAAATGAAATCAGGAGCCAGGCTGAGAGAAGTTCCAGGGGTGCTTGGTCCCTCTGGGGGCCACCTGACCCACCTCCAGCACTTCTCAGGTGGGATGTGGGACACGTCTAACCCCACGCCAGCCCGTTGGGCACTATCATCTCTGTGCAGGGTGGGTGGGACTGGCTTGAAGACCTCAGGGCCATCAGTGTCCAACCCAGCCAGGGCCCCGAAGCCAGGCTTAATCAGGCTGGTGACCAGGCACCCTCCAGTGAAAAGCACACTTAGACATTGAGGCATGGCAGTGCCAGCCTCCCCCATGGCTCCCATCTCTGCTACAGGAGAAAGAGAAGAAATACATGCTGTCCGTGGACAACCTAAAGCTGCGAGACGTGGAGAAGGGCTTCATGTCAAGCAAGCACATCTTCGCCCTCTTCAACACGGAGCAGAGGTGCCTGCCCCTGCCACCCTATGGGAGAAGTGGGGTACACATTCCTTAGATCAGAAGAGGCACTGGGCCGGGGCTCACAAGGAGCCATTTATTTACTCGATATTTACTAAGCTTCTACTCCACACCGGTGTCTCTGCCTTCCTTCCTCCTTCCTTTCTTCCCTTTCTTATTTCCTTCTTTCCTTGCTCCCTCCCTTTTGCCTTCCCCCTCTCTTTCACAGTCCCTTGTTATTGTCTGATCTGCATGAGACCCTCCACCAGGCACTGGGGACAGATAAGAGACCTGGGCAACCTCATGCTCTTCTGGTGTTGCCCAGGTCCCCAGCGGACCCAGCCTTTCACCTTCCTATCCCAGCCCCTTCTCTCTCCTATTTGGTGGAGGAGGAGGGTCTTTAGTCAGAGATAGGACTAGTGGGGGATCTTCACCGTCTTACAGGTGCCCCATTGTGGGAGCTCAGTCTCGTTCTAAGCCTTTTGCTGCTCATTTCATTGAAGCCTCCCAATGACCACAGGAGACAGGAACTATTATTTTTTGTTTTTGTTGTTTTGGTTTTTGGAGACAGGGTCTCACTATATAGTCCAGGCTAGCCTTGAACTAACTGTGTAACCCAGGCTGAGCTCAAACTCTCAGCAGTCCTCCTGCCTCAGCCTTCTGAGTGTTGGGGTTGCATGGATGCATCCCAGATGAGGAACTGAGACCTGGAGAAATGACTTTCCTGGGGTTTTGTGATTAGGGAACCAGTCAGGGCTGGACCTCAAGCATGATGACACCAAAGTCCAGGCTTTGCCTCAACCCCTGGAGGAGACCAGGACTCCACCCATCTTCCCTCCCCACCCGGCCTGTCTTGCAGGAATGTCTACAAGGATTATCGGCAGCTGGAACTGGCCTGCGAGACACAGGAGGAGGTGGACAGCTGGAAGGCCTCCTTCCTGCGGGCTGGCGTGTACCCTGAGCGTGTTGGGGTGAGCAGCAGGCCAGGGAGGGGAAAGCACCACCCTCAGAAATGCTAAATTATGCCACATTTCTGGGCTCTTCCATGGCTGGAAGAGAGCTGGGACCCTCCCACGCCCTGCCTGCCCTGGAGCAGGAGCCAGCGTCCCCCCTCCCACCCTGTGCAGCAAGTTTCACGTGCTCCCTGACCTGCCGTGGCAGCCGCACTCCCGTCAGATGATGGAGGTTTTCAGCGGCTGCCTGCTCTTTCTCCCTTTTCCCTGAGCAGTGTCTAGAGTGGCCTCAGCACTCAATGCCTCCCTCTTTGCTCTCTGTGTCTTTCTGTTTCTGCACCCCTGGTGGCGGTGGCACTCATGGTGGCGGCAATGCTGGTGTGCTGGCCTCTCTGGCTCCCTGTATGGCTCCCAGGACAAGGAGAAAGTGAGTGTGCCCCTCCTTTGCCTGCTGCCAGCTGCCTGCAGCCTGGCAACAGCTCTGTATAGCTTGGAGATGTGCCCTTCTAATGTTTGTATTGGGAATCGGAGGCAGTTCCTAGACACTGGAGTTAGAGCTGAGACAAGGGCTCCTAAGGGAGCCTAGGGGTCCTGAGACATGCAAGGTGGCCAGGCTGAGGTCCTGGGGACACCTGGAGCCTGGCCTGGGCCTGCCCACACTGATGCCCTTCTGTCTCCAATGGTAGGCCAGTGAGACCGAGGAGAATGGCTCAGACAGCTTCATGCACTCCATGGACCCCCAGCTGGAGCGGCAGGTGGAGACCATCCGGAACCTGGTGGACTCCTACATGGCCATTGTCAACAAGACTGTTCGGGACCTCATGCCGAAGACCATCATGCACCTCATGATCAACAACGTATGTGTATCACTGGGGGCCAGGGACAGGGCTGTGGAACCAGGCATAGGAAATGCTGGCCGTCCCACAGCAGCCACGCCTAGGATGGAGGCCACGCCCAGACGGGAGCTGCCTCAGAGAAAGACAATGTGGCCTCAGTCTGTAACTTTACATTTTATAGTAATGAGATCCTTGGCTCAAAAAAAAAAAAAAGGGGGCACAAATGATGGAATTTGTGTTTTCAGAACAAGGAGGAGTATTTTGAGGATAGTTAATGGCAACGTATCATTTACTGTAATTTTTTAAAATTTAAACATTCACCTTATTTTTTGATCACTCCTTGTAAAAAGATGGCCTGGTTGTGAAGTTCAGTGGTGAAGTTTGCAGTTATCAAGCCCAAAGCCCAGGGTTCTAGGTGTGATCTCCAGCACCACGATTTTTTTTTTTTAAGGCTTAATTTTGTTTTTATTTTTTGGCATTGGGAATCAAACTTACAACCTCGTGCTTTGCCAGGCAGATGTTGTACCACTGAGCTACATCCCCGGTCCAAGGCTTAATTTTAACAATATATATATTTTAAAAGAATAATAATAATAGTATATATTTAAACCCAGAATACCCAAAATATTATTTTTCAACATGCAACTAACCCAGATAATATTAAAGTGATATTTTATATGCCTTGTTTCATACTAAGTTTTCCAAGTCCAATTCAGACATTGTTTCCACTGGAAATATAAATTTAAATTTCATAACATCTACAGTTGAAACCAGAGGAGGTGGTACAAGCCTGTAATTCCAGTGCTCAGAAGGCTGAGGCAGGAGGATCATAGTGAGTCAGAGGCCAACCTGAGCTATGTAGCAAGACCCGTCTCGGGGGAAAAAAAATTTTTTTTTCACATAAGGGTGCACATTTTACCCAATCCAGGCACACATTTAGAGCTGTTACTCTTTTTCAAGGGCTCAGAACATTTTAAACTATCAGCTTCCTTCCAAAACTGAGTAGGGCTAGGTGTGGTGGCACATACCTGTAATCCCAGCACTCGGGAGACTGAGACAGAAGGATCTTTGCAAGTTCCAGACCAGCCTGGGCTACAAAGTGAGCTCAAGACCAGCCTGAACTGTATAGCAAGACCCTGTCTCAAAAAGACATAAATAAATAACAAAACTGAGTAAGGAGGTGACCTAGTGGCATACTAGGTTCTGAGCTACTTCGTAACAGTGGCCTGGATCGGGTGACTTTTCCTCTCTGGACGCCAGCGTTGCCCAGAGGAGAAAGGGGTGGGGAGCCTCCGAGGTCAGGCACGAAAGCCATCTAAACCCAGGCCAGTGACTGGTCCAGCAGGGCCTGGTGGGATGGGAAGGGAGCCCAGGAGCCAGGTCCCAGCCCGGCCCCTCTTTGCTCGCCATCCTCAGACCAAGGAGTTCATCTTCTCGGAACTGCTGGCCAACCTGTACTCCTGCGGGGACCAGAACACTCTGATGGAGGAGTCCGCGGAGCAGGCGCAGCGGCGCGACGAGATGCTGCGCATGTACCACGCACTGAAGGAGGCTCTCAGCATCATCGGCGACATCAACACGACCACCGTCAGCACGCCCATGCCCCCGCCCGTGGACGACTCCTGGCTGCAGGTGCAGAGCGTACCGGCCGGACGCAGGTACCAGGGCCGGTCCCCACGGCCCCAAAGCCCCCCAGCCCGGGGCCCGCGGGAGGAGGGCCGGGACCGGGCAGTGGCGCGCCCGCGTCACCGGGGTGGCTCCCACCTGGAGCGAGGGGCGGAGCTTAGAGAGGGCGGGGCTTTCCGCGGGGCGGGGCTTGCCGTGGAGCGCTGGCTGCGGGGTGCGAGCTGGAACGTTGGGGGCGGGCCTTGGGCTCCGGCGTTCACCTATTGGCGAGTGGGGCGGGGCTTGCGTGCATGGGCGGGGCTGGCACTGGGCTGGGAGCGGGGCTCGCGCCGGGGCGGAGCCGCTCATCTCCTTGTTCCTGGCTTTCTGTCATCCGCAGATCGCCCACGTCCAGCCCCACGCCGCAGCGCCGAGCCCCCGCGGTCCCCCCAGCCCGGCCCGGATCGCGGGGCCCTGCTCCTGGGCCTCCGCCTGCTGGATCCGCCCTGGGGGGGGCACCCCCCGTGCCCTCCAGGCCGGGGGCTTCCCCTGATCCTTTCGGTCCCCCTCCCCAGGTGCCCTCGCGCCCTAACCGCGCCCCGCCTGGGGTCCCCAGGTGAGTAGGGGCTGGAGAGGCCTCCTGGTGGGTGTGGCAGTGAGGGAGGTGGAGTCAGATCTAGGACTGGGCGAGAGCTCGGGAGCCTGCCCTGAGGGAGCGCTGAGTCCGGGAGGCAGACGTCTCTGGGCTGGAGACTATGGGATTGTCCCACCTGCCCCTTTCTCTAGAGCACTTGCATGGCGTTTCCCTCTTTTTTCACACCTGGCCTCCCACACGTTGCGTTTCTCCTTTCCCCTTTTCTCTCTTCTCCCATTCCGACCTCAACTCCTTTCCTAGCCCTTGGAACCTCCTTCAGATCTAGGGGTCTGAGCCCCGATCTTCTCTGGACATGTGGATTTCACTCAGTTACATCTAGGGCCGCCTAATGCCCACTCCCTGGCCCGAACTTTTGAGCTGTCCTCGTGGTGTCCCGCCTCTGGCCCATAGGAACAGAGGCCAGGCTGGCTGTGACTGTGTGACCACTGTGAGGTGCGTGTGCATTGTGTGAGGTGTGTGTGGGCGTGCACACAGATGTGAGTGTGAATGTGGCACCCAGTCATGGGATAGGACAGGGAGCTGCTGGAGAAGGGCATGGGTATCCTGGTGGCTTTTCTTTCTCTTTGCCTCTGGACCATCCTAGCCTGGACCAACTTGGTGGGGTGAGGCTGGGCAGGAGTGAGTGAAGACTGTCTTATTCCTGGAGATTTCCAGGGAGAAGGGATACTGTTTCCTCTCCAGGTAACAACCCGCCCCACCCCCACACACACACACACACATGCACTGCTGAAAATCTAACCATGGCCTCCACCAGGCAGGGCAAACACCTTATTAGTGAGCTGTCTCCCAGCCCTGGCCTTGTCCTCCTGAGACATGGCCTTTGCAGGAAATTCACTGCCATGTCTGACTCAATTCTCCCTGATTTGCACAGCCCCCTTTCTCTGAGGAAGAACACATTAGCCCAAGAGCATCACTTATGTTTCCATGTGGCTGGAGGGTAGGGTTGTGTCACTGGGACTTGCCCTGTGAGGACCTGATAGGCAGCATGGTAGTGGTCAGGGACACTAGACTGGACTGGGATCCAGATATGCTGGTTCATTCTGGCCCTTTAAAATACACATTTTCCCTCTGAGAGCCTCAGTTTTCCCTTCTACCTGCCAAATAACAATCTTTTGCTTTTCTCCCACTGTTGGTGTGGGGACCAAGGGTTGGTGTGATTATATGGCCATGTGAACATTTTGCTAACTGCCAGTGTAAGTTCAGATGCTTCCAGGTGTGTGCTGAGTTGTGACACTTGGGAACTACAGTTTGGTAACCACTTTGACTCTGATCTGGTTAACACAAGGGAAGACATCTGGCGAGTAGAATGGAAGTCCTGCCGCGGGGCAGAGAGCAGTTCTTCAAGGCAGCCTGACAGCAGTGGGATGCTGGGCATGATTGGATGGAAGGGGTTTCTGTAGGCAGCAGCAATCAGGGCAAAGGCTGGTGCCTCAGGATATCCAGGAGAGCTGCTGGCCAGGCGGAGAGTATGGATAGAATGAGGAAGATATCTGTGTTTGGGCGGTGGGCAGGGTGGAGAGCCTTCAAAATCCTCATAAGAGGTTGACTTGTTAGGGACTCAAGGGTATTTGGCAGCAGGGAGCCACGGAAAGCTCTCTGGCAGAGAAATGACAACTAAACCCTAGAAAGCAACCCCAGTCCTCTCTGGAGCAGTATGGTGGCCCTCTGAGCACACCAGGCACAAGTGTGTGCAAGGAGCTGGTGCAAATGCTTCTGTGTTGTGACAGCCCACGTGTGTGCTTCCGTGTGCCAAGTGGCTGCATGCCCCAGATCCATGCTGCACGCGCCAGCCAGTGAGGGCGCTGGGTGGGAGGTGTATGCGTGTTGTTCGTGGGCATGTGTGTTAGTGTGCATGCAGGGCCATGGGGCCTCATTGCATATGTGTGCACGCCTGGGCGTGTGTGTGTGTGTCCCCCTCCCCCAGGCCTCGTGTGCATGGGAACTGCCCTGTTGATTTCATGCTGTCTTTCAGAATCACTATCAGTGACCCCTGAGGAGTATCAGCCATGGTAGGTACATGCTCTCGGCCTGCTGCATGAACCGTGTGTCTGCCCCACTGCACCAGCTCCACCTTTGGGGCACACCTGCAGCTCCATGCTCCCTCTTCCTTTCTGTCCTCTGCCAGCTGGCTCTGTCACCTCAATGAGACTCAGGACTCAGCGCCATTGCCCACAGCCTCCATGGCTGAGTCAAGGGCTCTTGGGACAGGCTCCCTGCCTGAACTGGCAGACAGGGTGCTCTCTGGAGCCACCAGAAAGGCCAGAGAGCTCATGGCTTGTAATGTAGGGGCTGGAAGTTTGGAATAGGTGTGTGTGTGGCTGGGCTATATTTTAACTAGAGGCCTGGAACCTCACCCGGAATGCCATTCCCAGTCCCGTCTGACCCCTGCTGCTGAGGCTGGACATCCTGCTCCCAGTGCCAAGCTCTGGGAACCAAGTTCTCCTCTAGACAGGGGTGACAATCAGGTAGCGATTGAGTGGAGGCTCTGGTTGTTTGACGATTTGTGAAGGCCTGAGAATCTTGTACAACTGTCAGCCCACAATATACTTCACAGTAGTCAAAGCAGGGACACATGGCCCCCGCCCTGCCAATTTTTCTTTTCTATGCAGTTCAGGCTGACATTCAGTACACTTGGTAGCCCATGCTGGCCTCAAACTCATAGCAGTCCTCCTGCCTCAGCCTCCTGCAGTGCTGGGATTATAGGCATTGTGTCACCATGCCTGGCTCTCCCCACCTCAATATTATCACACCTGTGACAAATGGCTGTGTCCTCAGCACCGTGTAAAGCACCAAGTGGGCTCCTACAGCTTGTCCTGTTGTACGTAGAGATGACTGTGCTTTTTAGCCAAGAATACGAGTGTTGCTGACCTAAGCCTGTCAGTTTCCAGAGTTCCACCCAGTCAGGCCACAAAATTTACCCAGGGACCCCATGTGACACTCCTCCCCAGCCACTGACTCTTGCTCTTCTGCTTTTCCCCAGCAGGAAGGGCCCAGCCTCACCTACGCGACCTGCAGCCCCCCGACCGGCTGAGGCTCCCCTCTTAGACTTATAAGTCTGGTCCCTGGCATCAACTGCTGCCCCTCCAGGCTCCCCAGGGTCCCCTCTGCGGACTCCTGGGCTTTCTAACCCGCTGAGGGGTTTCCAGCACTCTCCAGCCACCCCTTTTAGATGTGCCCTTCTGGCTCCATCTTCTTCCTCCAGCTTGGCAGCTATTGTGTGGGACTGCCCAAAACTAGGGGTGGTCCTGGGCCAGAGGGATGAAAGACAGGGCAACCAGAGAAGAGGGAACTGGGTCTGGAACTGGGTGCACTGCCTGGTGATGTGTGAAGCTGCGTGTGTGGCAGGAGAGGGACACCCCAGCCCTGCCCAGGTTACCCAGCAGCTCCGTCCAGCCCACTATCTTCAGCCCCCCATTCTCCCCCGCTTCCCCACCTGTCCCTCCGCCGCCTCCCTCTCTTCTCCAGAAGCTGCTGGGGCATGGCTGCTCTTGCCCTTACCAGCTGTCTCCTTTTCTCTCCAACTGCCAGCCGATCGGGTCAGGCAAGTCCGTCCCGTCCTGAGAGTCCCAGGCCCCCCTTCGACCTCTAACCAGATCCCTCCTATTCCTCGGAGACCTCCCTAAAGCCTGCCTGGACGGCTGCTCTGTGACTTGACAGTGGCTCCCCGGCCCCAAAGCGTCCCCTTCATCTGTGACTTAGTCCATTGTAGTGGTGCGCTGACACATCCAGGCGTGACGTTGGTGAACCCTCGTGCTGTGTGGTATTGCTCCCGCCCTTATGTATAAATCTCTATAAATACTCATATATATATATATATATATACATATACATATATACATATATATGGCCGACACAGCCTCGTCCGTGTCGGGAATCAATCGCCATGCTGTCCTTGTGGAGTCTTGTGGCCCAACTACAAGGGACACTATCACCGACACCCCCGCTCCACAGTGTGCCACCTGCAGTGAGCCTCCTTGTCTTGCTTGGCCTGTGGACAGCCAGCCCCTTGGTCATTCTGCCCATGTCCCCCCACCCAAAGCATGGGGGCGCTGCAGTGGCAGCCACGTGCTTCCCTGACCACCACGTCCTGCTGTCTCTACACTGAGAATAAAACCTGTGCCTGGACGATGGGGAACCTGTGTCCTCACTGGCTCTTGTTTGCTGCAGAGCACTGGGCAAGGGTGTTTGGAGGGTGGCCACAGGCTGTGTACCCCGCTCTGGCCACTAGAGGGCCAGGCCTCACTCAGGCAGGAGATGGCACAAGGGAGGGCCAGGTGTGGGGCTGGCCCCCAGTGTTGGGCAGGGAGCCTAGCAGGCCCGTCGGGCTCACCCCTGGCCCACTGGATGGACAGTCCTTGTCCCATGGTGTGTCCTCACCATTGCCAACTGACACGTGAAGATGCACACAGCCCTGCTGGACAGGCAGATGCTCAGGCTTCTCGCAGCCCAGAAGTCCGCCCTCTGCTGGAAAGGCCCGCTCCCTGCGCAGTGCCAAGCTACAGGCAACCCCCAGGCCCCAGACAAGGGACATACCAGGCCAGGCTATATGACTAAATCCATTTATTCCAAAGGAAAAGCAAAATAAACAGGAGCCGCATCACCAGGGCACCACAACCCCATCCCCGTCTCCTTCCTCTGTTCTCTGCTACCAATAAATAAGATACTCAGCCCCAAATAATTATAGAACCTCCCTCCTGATTCACTAGCTCCAGCCTCTGCTATGATACAGAGGGCGGCCCTACCCCGGAATATACAAAATGTTACACAGGTACAGTATGTACACGGGGGCGGGAAGCCCACCCAGCCCGCCCTTGCTGGGCCCGCTGCACCCTGATCACCATAAGGCCTTGGAGAGTGCTGTCCCACTGTCCTGCCTCAGAGGCAGGCGCCCCTCAATGAACCGCTTCACTGACTTGCCTGGCGAGCCCACAGGGGGACCCCACTGGCCCGCTCCAGTGCCTCAAGCACATGGGCTGGGGCTGGGCACTCATCTCCCATATGCCAGGTGGCTCCATCCACAGAACAGAGGGACAGCTTGGCTGAATGAAGGGTGCCAGGCCCCACCCCCTTCACCTGCCCATAGGGAGCCCCACCTGTGCAAAGAGCTGGCAGATGCTGCCCACTGTCCTGCCCCAAAGAGCCTGAGCAAGAGAATGGGGGCCCCCAGTGAAGGATGGCTTGGCAAGGGCAAGGGGGCTGCTGGGAGCCCCTGGCCCCACAGAGGGGCAGCCGCTAAGTAACTGTGAGCCTGTAGCTCTTTATCTGAACAGAAGTCCAGAAAGAAAGACTCACATCTGACCAATACGGCAAAATCTGCACCTGTCTGTGTCCCCGGTTAGACAGGGCGGGGGTGGGGGGGAGCTCATCTTTTTTTTCTATTCTTTTCACGTTTTTCAATATTTTTCTTTCCACATTTTTTCTTTTTATTTTGAAAAAATTATGTTTTTAAATTTTTTTTCAATTTTTTAGTGCCTCTCACTACTCTAAAGATAAAAGATGGCAGGGATTAGAGTGGCAGGACCTGAGTGGGGGGACAGTAGGGTCAGCCCTGCCTCACTTCCCTAGGTGTGGCGCACAGTCTCTTTAGATCACCATGATCTTCACCTCGTCGTTCTTGTCCGCCCGGTAGAAGAAGGGGATGCAGGGGTTGCTGCCCAGGCCCAGGCGCTCCTCGGGGTTCTGGATCTCACGCAGCAACTGCATGATCTGCCTTGCCGTGGGGTTCTCGGGCGCTGGGCCTAGCCCAGCTGCTTCGTGTGCAGGCTCCACGCTGTCGGCAAGGCTCACCTCTAGAAGGTCTTCAGAGAGAGCAGAGGGGACAGTGCTGTGCTGCCCTCCCCACCCCACCCTTGCCCTTCACCTACCCCCCTCCCCCTGGGCTCTGCTCACCACCCTGCTCCGCTGCAGCAGCACCAACTTCTTGGGCATCTTTGGGCCCCAGCGTGGGCTCCTCAGCAGGGCTGCGGGCAGCTGCTAGGAACCTGCCCTGCCACTCATTGCGCTCTCCCACAAGCCTCAGCACCAGCTCCTGCAACTCCAGTAGCTTCACCTGGAGGAAGAGGCACTCAGTGCCTGCCCCGCTGCATGCCGCACACTGGCCTAACCGGCAGCAGGAAGCCCCGGCCCCACCTTCATCTCTTCCTTGTCCTGGGCCAGCCGGCTGATGTACTCCTCCTTCTCACGGTGCCGCTCCTTTAGCACCGCCCTCTGATTTTGATAGAGGGCGATGTACTCCCCTACAGGAAGGGGCACCAGTCAAGGCTCGAGTGCTGGCTCCAGCTCCCGGCTCCCACTGCTGGACCCTGCCCCACTCACCTATAGTGTCCGTCTCCCCAGAGAGCTGGATGCAGCGATGCTCCAGCTCGTCCACCCGCTCCTTGAGTTCCGCCTTCTCCTGCATCACCTCCAGGAAGCGGCTCTAGAGCCACAGCAGTGGGTCAGATCTGTGGCCACCTGCCCTAACTGCCCTTCCTGACCTATTGGAACAGACTCACCTGCAGCTTCTCCATGGCCAGCTGCAGGGCCCCATGGCTCTCCGCAGACACACTGTCACCTGCACTCCCAGGGGCCAGGGCTTCCTTCTCAGGCTCACCATGAGATGTGGTTGCCAGGTGGGCAAGGCGCCGGCACTGTGCCCTCTGCTCCCTCAGCTGTGCTAGCAATCGCACCTGCTCCTCCCGGGCCCTGGCAAGAGCTGCATTACAAAATGCCACCTGTAGGAAGAGGGATGTCTGTGCCAGGGGACCACTCAGGGCCTTGGGGAGCACCTGTCCTTCCTAGGGGGATGGTGTCTGACCGACCACTGGCTCCAAGGGAAGTTATGCAGGAGGGCAGAGATCAGAGGGTGGGAAACAAAAGAATTAGGGACTACAGGGAAGGGATAGTTGCCCCAACTCACCATGGCCTCTTGGCTGTCTATGTCTTCCGGGATAGTCACATCTGGCAGAGGCGCTTCCTCCTCCTCATCCTCCTCATCCTCTTCAGCTCCTGTGGGAGCAGCAACGGATCCTAGCTCATCTCTGCTACCTCATCCCATCACGTCCCCTGGGCCGCCCGAATCTCCTCCCCTCCATTCTCTCTTTGCCACGAGTCCTCCCGTAACCTCACTCACCTTCCCCAGGTGGGGCCAGAAGGCTGAGCTGGGCCTGCAGCTGCTGGTTCTGCTGGGTGGTGGCCTCCAGGCGCTCCTGCAGACAGCAAGAAAGTGAGCAGACGTCAAAGTGGCCAGGTCTTCCCACCCAGCCTCCGCAGCGCCTGGCCTCACCTGGGTCTCCCGCAGCTCCTGGCGGGCCCTGTCCTCAGCTGTCTTGCCCTGCATCTGCTCGTGCTGCAGCTGGTCCAGGAGTTGCGTGTGCACCAGGAACTGCCTGTGCAGCGCCTCCTTCTCAGAAGCCACCTGCTGCCAGGCTGCCGCGTACTGCTGCAGCTGGGATAGGAGCTGTTCTCGCTGCTGCTGCAGAGCCTGTGCCTCCTGGTTCTTCAAGTCCATCTGCAGAAGGCCCCCAGCGTGAGTCAGGGGATGTCCTGCTTCCCAGTTCTGACCCATAAACAGGGTGAGTCAGAGCCCAGGCCTTTCTCTAGCCACCCAGTCTCACACCATGAACCGCCTTTCCCCCCACTTGGACTTTACTTTTATGTGTGTGTGTGTGTATATATATATATATATATATATATATATATATATGTACACATATATGTAGTTTTTTTGAGACAGTGTCACAATGTGGTCTGGGCTGGCTTGAACACTGTGTAGCCCAGGCTGACTTTAAACTCTTGATAGACAGTCCTCCAGCCTCAGCCTCCCAAGTGCTGGCACTACAGGCATGTGGACCATACCCAGCTGTACCACTTGGACTTTAGAGCCCAGATGTGACGCATTAGAGGGAGCCACCCCACGTCTGCTAAGCACCCTCCATGAGTACCCTTACTGCACAGACTTTGCCTCATTCAGTCCCCAAGTCTCTATGAGGAAAAGGCTGATCTCCTTCAGGGAAAGTCAGGAAAAGTGAGACTCCGCGAAATGGGACATTAAGCCTCCAACATACCCTACTCCCCTTGTGATGAGGGCTCCAGGTGTCTAGCACAGATAAGGACATCTGGACCTGGTGGAACCCAGGCCTGCCCACCTCTAGCAGTCAGAGGCGGGAAGCAAGAATCAGTCACAGCACGGCTCTGCAGGACACTGGGATTACCTGGCCCCAGGCTGCAGCTGGTCTGTCCTGGCCCCTACACCTCCCCACCCCTGGCCACCATCTTGGTCAGAGCCCAGGATTATAGGGCAGGAGTTACCATCTCTGTGAGCTCTGCCAGCTTCTCCTGTAGCTGCCCCAGCTTTTTGGCCAGCTCCTTCTTAACATGCTGCTCCGACTGCAGCGCGCTGGTCATCTCCACGTTCTCATTGGTCTACACGAGAAGGAGCAATCAGCGCCACCAATGCAGGCAGACCCGGCCCAACCTGGGTGTCTGCAGCACAGGAAAGCATGGAGAAGCCTCCTCTCTGCCCTGACAGATGCTCACGGGGCATCCACCTACACATGCCCATTTCTACAGGGGGAGAAGAGGGCCCAGAGGAGTGTATTGCTCGGCCCCGAAGGACGTGCGCACCAGCCTGACAAAGCCATCCTGCAGCTCAGCCAGCTGTTCCTTCAGCTCTCGGTTCTGCGAGACAGCACGGCTGATGGTGGTGCGGTCGCTCTGCATGCTCTCCAGGATCTGCCTGCGCTCCTCCGCCTGCTCGCCCCACACCTCTGCCTCTCGTTCTAGCTGCAGCAGCCGCTCCTCCTGCTCCCGATTCAGGCGACTCAGGCTCTCGTTGTCCTGCACCTGGGCTTGGAGCTGTCCTGTCAGGCGCCCCAGCTCCTCCTGCAGCCGGCTGGCCTCTGCTTGTAGCCGCTGCTCCTCCTCGGAGGGTCCAGCTGGGGGTTCTGGGGCCGGGGATTCTGCTGGGAAAGGAAACTGGCAGTTATGGTCAGGGCCTCTGGCTTCCTGGAACACTCCTCGGGCTTCAGCTCCTAATTCAGGCTCCTTGCTCTAACCCTGGCTTCCTAATGACCTCTCATACCCATATGACGGCCACTCCTGACGCCGCTTCCCAACTCCCGGCAGTGGCACATCCCCCTCTGCAGATGGAGACACTGTGGCTCTGAGAGATGACAAGACTTGCATCTCTTGGCACAGACCCAGTCCCTTTGCCACAGTGTGCTTGAATGCACCCCACTCCCAGGCCATTCCCACAGCCCGGGCCCCAGCCCTGCTCCCAGATCCTTTGCATCCCTGCTCACCCATCTGGCTCCTCAGGTCGGCCAAGCTGCTCTCCAGCTCCTGCACTTGACTCACGCTGCGTTCCTTCTCCTCCTTCAGTGTGTGCACCTGCCCGAGGCACAGGGGAGTGGAGGGAGACAGGCTGGTGACCACAGGCTCATCTCCTTTCCAGCCCCACCGCCAACAAAACCCACACTGAGGGTGTGGCGTGGTGGTGCATGCCTAATCCCAGCACACAGAAAGGTGAGGCAGGAAGATCACTGCGAGTTTGAGGCCAGCCTGGGCTACATAGCTCAAAGCCAGCCTGAACAAGACCCTGTCTCAAACACACACACACACACACACACAGCACAGCACATACAGAACCACCCAACATGGAATACCACCCCTACCAGGCAGATGCCCAGTATGGCTATGCAGTGTGAGCTGCTGAGGGCCATCACGCTTCACCTGCTCTGACATCTGCCGCATCCTCTGCTGCCACATGGCGCGCTCTTCCTTCAGGTTCTCTGTATACTGGTCTCTCTCCAGCTGCAGTTGTTTCAATGACTCCGTCAGCTGCAAGAGCAACACAGAAATTAGGAGAGGCTGTCACCGTTCCTTACCTGCTCCCAGCCATGTGGGCCCACCTGCCTCCATGTACCTCCCTCGAGAAACCTCACCTGCCCCACATGCGTCTCCAGCCGTGCCCGATCCTCCAGGGCCTGCTGGAACTGCTGGTCACTGTCAGGGGATGCAGACCCGCTTGAGAACTGGACAGAGAAAAACGAGAAGTTCAGCTCTGGGAACCCAGGGTGCTCCCCCCACAGCTCCTGCAAGAGCGCACGACAATGGTGCACACTTTGGGCTCATGAAGAGCGGGGGCTTGCCTGCAGGAAGAGGGAAACAGACTCCTGGGCTAGCCGGCAGGCTGAGGCAGGACAGCAAGTTCCAGCCCAGTTTAGGTTAGTTAATGACTTGGCGACACCCCATGTCACAGCAAAACATAAAAAAGACCTGAGGACATAGCTTGGTACAATTCCCAGTACTATGGCACTTAAAAAAAGTCAACAGTTTTTGTTTTTGTTTTGTTTTGTGAGACAGGGTCTCACTGTGTAGCACAGACTGGTCTCAAACTCACAGCCTCCAGAGTGCTGGGATGAGGCATGCATATCATACCTGGCTCCTCCACTGATACTCTGAGTCTGCAGGTCTGGACAAGGCCCCAGTTTATGGGTTTCTAGCTATTTCTGGAGGATTCCATGGCAGATTTCTTTGGCTCTCAGAGGCAGTGGCAGCTGCAGGGATTCAGACTGCCCGCTGCAGCCTCCTACCTGCTGCAGCAGCAGCTCAGACATCTCCAGCTTCTTCTGCAGCTCCTCCATTCCCAGCTGACTGGCTGCATTCTCTGCTGTGAGGACCCTGAGCCTCTCTTCCAATTCTGAGTTGTGCTGCTTCAGGTCCTCATTGCTTTTGCTGTGGTCAGCAGCAGAGGCAGAGGCAGTGCAGAAAGGAATGAACCAAGAAAAGAAAGGACCGCTTTGATGACCAGCCTGCTACCCTTGCCACATTACACAGAACACTGGCATTGAAGGGACTCTAGCAATCAAGAGTTATGAGTAAGAGGCCAGAAAGGACTGAGCTGCCCAGGGATGCTCCAGGAGTCAGCGGCACAGCTGGAATGGGAGCTTAACTCTGCACACATGCCAACCTGTGCGGCCCTCCCCATGGTCCTGTGCCTCACCCCCAACCTCATGCCCACGCCAAGGCCCTGGCCGGCCCAGCCTCCCTTCCCCTCCTACTTGTTCTTGAATAACTCCAGCCTGAGGGTGTCCCGCTCTTCTGTCAGCTCTTTGTTGCACTGCAACACAGAAAGTCACCTCAGGACTGGCTGGCTACAAAGGGGGCTGGCACACAAACCACAGCCACAGTAACCACACCCCAGTGACACTTCCTCACCCTCAGTCACATATGACATCTCTGCCCAAGTTGCCATGCCTGTCTTGTGGTGTATGTGTGTGTGTTTTCTAGTATCGGGGGTTGAACCCAGGGCCTTCACTCTAAGGTCCATCCTTAGAGCTTTCTGGTTTTTTGAGACAGGGTTTCACGATGGAGCTTGGGCTGGCCATGACTTCCCTTTGTAGCCCAGCCTGGCCTCGAACCTGTGTGGATCCTCCTACCTCTGCCTCCTGAGTGCAGGGAAGACAAGCGTGCACCACCAGCTCCGCCCCAGCATGTGTCAGCAAGCCTGGCCTCTTTGTGTTCTGATAGGATCTTGCTAGGTTGCCCAGACTGGACCCATACCCCTGGGTCAGGTAATCCTCTTGCATCAGCCTCCTGAGTGACTGGGACTGGAGGCACAAGCCACCACACCCATTTGAGGCAGTTACTGTCATCTCCATATTGTAGGTGAAACACAGACACCAAGTGCCTACCTAACACGCACCCAGGCAGAGCTGGGCTTGGATACCCAGGTCTAATTCTCTAGGCTCATCTTTCATTTGCCCTTTGATTGGGCGGGACATTCTCACAGTCTGACTCTCAGGAGTAAATGTCTCCCAGCCACCTTCTCCTCCCCTGAATTTATGAATCCGCTCAGACACAGTTCATGTAAATCACAGGCTCATGAATGGCAACATGGGAAGCTCCCCTGCACCCTCAGAGCACAGGCCTCATATCCATCCTCCTAGTCATTAGCCAAGGCCACAGCCAGTTAAGGGCATGGCAGGCGCCCAGCGTTCAGGCTCCACATCCAGGACTCACTCTACACAGCCCCAGAATTGCCCACAGCAGCCAACTCAGCCCCCGGATGTTTCTACCAACTATGGAGCAAGAAGGGCCCGTGATGCCTGGGCTGCAGGGGCCGGAAAGGCAAGGGACTCACCTTTTCCACCTGCTTCTGCTGGGTGGAGACAGCAGACAGCGTCTTCTCCAGCTCTCCTACACGCTGCCTCGAAGACTTCAGGCGCCCGGCAAGATCTTCACACTCTCCTGAGATGACAGAGGGATTGCAAAATGAGCCCCAAAGACCCCTCTCCACCTGCAAGGCTCGGAGCAGGATGCTGGACGGAGGAAGAAGCAGCATCTGAGAGCCCACCTGCTTTCTGCCTGGCTGCCTGCTGAGTGTGGGCCAGGGCTGTGTGCAGTTCTGCCTTTTCAGAAACCAGGATGCCTATGGTCTGAATGTGAACCTGTGGAAGAAAAGCCGAACATGTATGAGATAGCAAAGAAACACTGTCTCGGGCCCACAGGGTTACCACACTGTCCACCCACCTGCAGCTGCTCCCGCAGAGCCACCTGCTCCTTTGCCAGCTTCTGCTGAGATTCCTGTTTCTCCTACAGCAGAGGGAAGCAGCACCTCTTACTGGGGTGGGGGCCCCCAGAGATAGACCGTCTAAGAGCATGCCCCCAGAATGCCACCAGTGGCCAAGGAAAGGGTCACCAGTAAAATCAGACGATCGGGGACCCAGTGGGGGCCCAGGCTGGGCTTTGGGGGTGAGTCTTCTCCAGGCTGGGAGGGAGCAGGACAAGCCTGGGGCTTCTCCCTCTGCATCTTCACCCCATCCCAGCAGCCATGCAATAAGCGAACACAGAAATCACATTACTTTTTCCAGCTGTTGTACAGTATCTTGGTTCTGCTGTTTCTGTGGGGAGAATCAAAGGAAAGTGACTGGGGTTGGCCCCCATGACACTGCTTCCCAGACCACAGAGAGGCAGGCAGGAGCTAGGGATGGATCTGAGGGGGAAAATCCTCAGCTCCCATGGGGACGTGAACAACCACCTCCTCAGACTCCCAAGGAAACAGAAATGGCTTTTCCTTCACGGCTGTGCCACTGAAGGTCTGAATCTAGGTTCTCTTTGAAGATGAGAACATAAGCCTCTAGAAATGAAGAAAACAGATGACACTCCACCAGCCTGCAGCCCAAAGGGTGCATTCACCGAACAACCGAGCTAGCCAGTGGGCTAGGGACTGTGCCGAGCAGCAGGGGTGCAAGGAAGAGGTCAGACGCCACCCCTTCTCCCTGACGTTCTTCAGACAGGGAGCCTTTACATCTTTGCTTCTTAGGGCATGAGAGACCTGTGCCAGTCTCTGATTCTACCTCTGCAGCAAACTCAAGCCCAGAGAGGAAAGGTAACTCATCCAAAATCACAGCAGATTAGGACCTGAACCAGGGCAGGACATGGGCTTGGGCTGCCACTGGAAGCAACAACCAAGGACAAGAGGGGTGAGGAGTCATGCAGTGGTGTCTGGAGGACAGAGAAGAAGCAGAGAAGGTGGCAAGAAAGAGCCAAGCTGCATGCTCTGTGCTCTGGGGTCCCCCCAGTTGAGACTTAGGTCCCCCACGATCCCATTTTCTTTGGTACCAGGGACCCCCAGACCCTGGTGGATGAAGAGCCCCAAGGGGAAACTGGAGCCCAGGATGGCAGCATGGAATCAGGGGACCCCACTGGACTCTTACCAATTCCTCTATCTTGCTACTGAGTTGTTTGTTTGTTAGATAGCTGGAGTCCAGGGCTACTGCTAGCTCTTGGTACCGGCTCTGAGGCGCATGCAGAGAGGAGGTGGAGGAGTCGGGAGGAGAGGTAGAGAGAGTGTCATTAGGGTCAGGGGCTAGGTGGACTGTCTCAACTGGCAGTGGGGCGCCCAGGCCCTACTGTGGGAGGAGAAAGGGAACTAACTGTTCTGCAGGGTCACCAGGCCACAATCCAAAGCCACTCACCTCTAGATCCTTCATGTTAGCAGATGTGAGGCCCTCCCCGTTAACGTAGGATGTGGACTAGGAGAGAGGAGAACTGACATGGAGAGCCTCTGTGCCCATCGTGGCCAAGCCTCCAACTTCGTCTCCCCTTGTCCTGGCAAAACCATTCCTGCCTAACGTGGGCCCCTCCACCACTGCCCCTGTGCCAACTTCTTGTGGTTCTTAACCCCCGGCACCCACCCTGCCAGGCAGATCTCATCTTACACTTTCTACGCCAGGATAAATGATGTCACCAACTGCATGGTCCAAGTCCTTCAGCTGTACAGCTTTAAGAGACAGACTCAGAACAAAGGACTTGTCCGGTGCTGCCCAGTACACTGGCTGCTTGCAAGGTCTTTCACTTTCTTATGAAGCCCTGCCTTGGTTTCTAAGACACCATCCTTCCACCCTCCTCCGATCTGGGCCCCAATTGGTACCTCAGACAAAAGACCGTTGAGCTGCTGGGAAAGTTGTCGCAGGCTCTCGGTGGATGAAAAAGTCCTAGGGATGGAGATACAGGGTCAGGGGTACAGGCAGCTGGATGGGCAGTGGCCTGCCCTGACCCCTCAGAGGCACTCCTGCCCCAGCAGGTGACACTCACTTGGTTTCATCCATGACATTAGGCTCACTGTCAGCATCATAGTTCTGTTTGGAAAGAGACATGGGGGTGGTGATTCAACTTCCGGTGAGCCAGGAATTGGGTAAACCAAGTGCCCGCCAACAACGAAAAGCCTCCTCCGGGCCTGTCCTGCCCAGACCCCAGGAGAGCACGTGGCGGTAGAGACCACGTTGCCTGAAGACAGAGGAGACTCCACAGAGGGCATAGGCCTCTGGGCAAGCACACAGGAAGACAGCAGGCCAAAGGAACAAGGCACAAACCTGAAGTGACGCCACGCTAGTAAGAGTAGTGCCTGGGGAAGGGACACCGCCAGGTGACACAGTGGCAGCAGCAGCAGAAGGCGGTACAGGAGCAGCATGGTCTCTGGGAGCCTGTCAGAACACAGCGGGCTGTAGGGGCCATGCAGGAGAGGAGCAGCCTAACTGCCACAGACAACACGGTGGAGCGGGTGAACAGCGCTGCTGCAGTCAGAGGCTCAGTCACCAGTTCGGGGAGCCACTGGGGTGTGGCTAAGGATGGCCCAGGCTCCAGGCCACAGCGGCATTTTACACGGCCAAGCTCAGAGCAAGGGCCCACACAGCCTCCTTCTGGAACCCGAGGACCCTGTCTCCCTGCAGCCCAGCAAAAAAGGCCCAGCTCTGACCAGGGGCAGAAGGAAGGTGTGGGAGGCACTGTTCTTCCAGTGATCCCGGTCCTGGGTCCTGCTGCCCAGAGGCTGGTGGTGACCAGCTCGTCCTCATGGCCAATGTAACTTCCTGCCCTTCTCTTCTCCATGCTCCCTCCCTCCTTCCTCCCTCCCTCCTGCCTTGTCACCAAGAATTGTCTGTCTGATTCAGAAACAACCTAAACTTACCCAGGGAATAAGATCTGCCCTCTAGGGATCACGGATAACCTTTCTAGAAAAGCAACTGGGGGACAATCCTAGGATTTGAGACTCTGGGACACGTGGGTACCCCTCCTGCTCACCCAGCTGGACCCACTTCCTTGACCAGCCATGTCTAGGCCTCAACCCTACACAAGAAGCTTCAGATGCTAATATCGTCTAACGTCCAATAATTCAGATGGGCAGAGAATGGAAAAGACAGGACAGCTGACACCTGCCAAGGGACAAGCACTAGGGCACCAAGGCCTGCACAAGGAGGCTGTGCGTGAGCATGGTGTGGCTCTGTGGACGGTCTTTCCAGACCCTTCAGCCTTGCCCCTTGAAAACCCACACTTACTTCTCTCCGTGCAGAAATGCTACAGCCTGGGGAACTTCAGGAGGAGCCCTGTCCTGCAGGTTTACTGTGACCATAACCCTAGAACCCAGGTCCCTGGTGTGATTGTTAGCCCAGAAAGCCGAGAGCATCTAACAAGTAAGAGCTGAGGGCAGTGGCTGACCACACACGAGACATGACGAGGGGAGGCTGCAGTCCTAGGCACAGACCCTCCAGGCCCTCGGTCCCTGCTGGCCTCTTCCATTCCTACTGATCTCTGAGATCAGACCCAGGAATACTGGGTGGGGAGGATATTTTTCTGAGTATTTCCAATATACTTGACATGATTATGTTGTAAGCAACCAAGTCAATTCATAAGTTTTTGTTGTTGTTGTTGGGGGTTTTTTTGGGGTTGGGGTTTTTTGTTTTGTTTTGTTTGTTTTTGGTTTGGAGGTATTTGTTTAGTTTCCTTTTTCTGTATTTTGGGGATAGAACCCAATAACACTCTACCAGTGAGCTACATCCCAGCCCTTTTAATTATTTTTGAGACAGGGTCTTGCGAGTTGCTCAGGCTGCCCTCAAACTTTTGATCTTCCTGCCTCAGGTTCCAGGGTAACTGGGATTACAGGCATGAGCCACTGTACCCAGCTTACCATAATTTTACATCCTGCAGTTAAACATGTCCCAGTACGTCTGAGTTTACCAGGTGAGTCACAGCACCTGAGCAGACCTGACTTCCCGCTGGCAATGGCTGTGATGCTGGGAAAACTCTCCAGCACCTGCCAAGAGGTCCGTCCATCCCTTTCTCCATGCCCCTCCAGCAGGATCTGACCCCGGCTCAGCCCTGCTCCCTGAACAGGTCAGATAGCCTGGGGAAAGTTAGCTAAGGAAGAGGTGCCAGAGTCACATCTGGAAGAAGCCGCTTCCTCACCATCCAGACCCAGGCCCTACATCTCAGGAAAGTGATCTTTGAGCTCATGATGCTAGCTGCGAGCTTAGCTCTCCCCACCCTGCTCTGCCCCCCTCTCTCCATGCAGATGAATGTGACTCACTTCTAATCTGTTTTGGATTTTTTTTTTGTTTTTTTTTTTTTTGGTGCTGAGGATTGAACTCACAACCTTGAGCTTACAAGGCAGGCACTGTGCTGCTGAGCTATATCCCCAGCCCTCCCACCTTTAATCTTCAAAGCAGCCTCAAATGCCACCTCCTCCAGCTGGAGTCCACTGAGCATTTGCATACTGCCACTTTGTCCCTTGCTGTTTTCAGAGGTCTCTGTCTGCCCCATGGACACCTTATCTTGCTCATCTATGTTCGCCATTATTTAGCAAAGTGCCTTGCTATTAGGGCCCAGAGAACATGGCCAAGCAGCCTCTGATTTGTAAAGCAGATTAGGGGCAGAGAGTTCTGGTCACTCAACTGTCTGGTTAACTTCATACTATTTGCGGTCAGTTCCTCTAGAAAAAAATCAGACTTAATCCTTGTGACTCTAATGCAAACTTGTTTTCTCATAACTTTCCTTTCTCAGTTTCAAACCAAGATAAATTAATTCTAAGAAATCACAAACTTCTATGATCTACTGGTCTTTGAGGGATAAAAGCCCAGAAGGCGTAACCTCAAGGTATTTTTTTAAATTTTTCTCATTCTGATAGCACTACAAAGGACATTAAAAAGCCACAACCCCACATACCTGCTCTCAAAAGTTTTCCCACTTTAGCTTTTATCCTTAAGGTATGTGTTACTTCCTCCAAGAGGACAAAAGATGGGGGTAGAAAAACACCCAATTGACCAAGCAGGTAAAGAAGCAAACACAGGCAGGCTGAGGGTTAATGGCAGCAACATAAATAAGCCAGCAGCAGAGGATCCCCAAGCCAGAGAAGCCTCAGGGGCATGCACAGCTAGGAGAAAGCAAGCCAGAGAGGAGCCTAAGCACTGCCTCACCTGCCATCTGTCCAATGAGGGGAGCGCTACCCCATTGGAACGGTTAAGGTCGGACACCAGCACCTTCAGAATGTCCTGAATCTACAGAAGCCGAAAAGGGAAAAACAAGGGCAGGGGGGAGAAAGAGAAAAGTGGCTTAGAGAGGCAAGAAAGTCAGGCAAGGAAGAAATGGGCTCATGGAAATGGAATACTGAAGAGCAGAGGAGATCAATACCAGGACCTGTGCCACCTTCCAGTCACTTCCAATCAGGGTACACAAGTAGGTGAGGACGCCGTCCCGAGTAACAGAATCACATCACCAGAACAATGCAGCCCTTATTGTACATGAGACTCCCTCCTCCTCAGACTCGGGATGGAGATGGAATCTGGAAGGCTCTGGATCCCCATCTCTATTTTCAAAACCAAACTCCCAAGTTAAGGAATCACTTGAACACAACAGGCTATAGCTTAAAATGAACTGTGAAAGACGCTGAGGGGAGAGAGTGATTTTTGTGATGTCCCAGCAAGCTAATGGCAAGTGTACTCAAAATCAGATCTGCTACTCCTGCTGCCTGGAAGTCCCCATGCCACAGCTTGGGACTCTTTCAGAGTCTGATGGTGAGTGGCTGTTCTCCCTGGCCTGGCTTCCCTTGAGGTTAAGGAAAATCAAATAGTAACAACTATCACTCACTGAAGGTTTACTCACACAGTGCCTGAGGGAACTCAAATGAAGCCAGAGACATCTCATTTAAACTTCAGGAGAGTATAGTCTCTCTGGATATGCGTATACTACATATGGTCATTCATACATAAATGCATAAATACGTGTATTTTATTTTGCAATGCTGAGGCTCAAACCCAGGGCTTCATACATACTAGTCAAGTACCCTACTACTGAGCTATAATACCCCTCAGACGAGAATTCTAACCAGTACGCATGACCCTCCACTGCCACGGGGACCCCTACCCCAGCAGCCTGGCAGCCGAGACTCACCTCCTCCGGTGAGTGGTCATCGCGAGCAGTGCTTGTCTCAGGGCTACCATCATTTTTCAGCTTTTTCTTCTTCTTCACTACTGCTGGACCACTAGGGCTGTTCTTCTGCTGAAATTCTCTTAACTGTGGAAAGGAAAAGCAAGGATATTTGTGAAAACAAGCCTCTGTTTCCATATCCTCCTGCAGTTTTTAATATTCCTATCAGTTGAGCATGACAGTGCACCCCTATAATCCCAGCACTAAGAAGGCTATCAGTAAGACCTTGTGTCAAAAACAAAGGCGAAGCATGGTGCCACACGCCTGTAATCCTAGCACTTGGGAAGCTGAAGCAGAAGGATCACCACTTCGAGGCCAGCCTAGGATACGTAATGAGCTCAAGGCCAGTGTGAACAATGAAACCCTGTCTCAAAAAGACCATCCAAAAAATACAACCCCAGCTGCTGGAGATATTGTAGCAGGTAATTCAGGACTCCTTAGACTTAATCCCTAGTACCAAAAAAAAAAAAAAAAAAAAAAAAAGCAATAATTGGACTGGGTGTAGCTTAGTGGTATGGCACCTGCCCACCATGCTAAAAACCCTCGGCTCAATCCCCAGCACTATACTCCACACATAGAAAAGGCAATAATGGATTTAAAATCAATCTTCTAACTCCCAGCTCTGGGGTTTGCCATAAATCAGTCACTCCCAGGGAGCAAAGCCAGATGTAGGGGTGGAAAAGTAAACATTAAATAGGAAGGAGCTGTGTCTTTGGTGGGTTAGAAAGCAGACATCCGGGTACTTTCTTTACACACCTGTTAGCACTACACCAAGACTCTCAAACTTCCATCAATGTGCCCTAAGGCCAGAAGCAGTCAAGACACAGCCTTAGAGAACCTGGTAATTAACAGCCTAATTCAAGCATCCTTTCAAAAAGAAATCTATCCTTCTTCACAAATCTATACATATGTCACCCCTAAATACATTAACAAATTTAGTCTGTCTCAAGAAAATCAAGTAGAGTTGATGTTTCAGAAAGTAGACGGGTATAGTGGTACAAGACTGCAATCCCAGCACTGGAAGGCTAAGGCAGGCGCATCCTGAGATGAAAGCCTACAGAGCAAACCGGGAGGCGGGGCCACGCGTGGTGGCCACACCTGTGATCCCAGCACTTGGAAGGCTGAAGGTGCCACGAATTCAGGGCTAACCTGGGATACATAGTGAATTCAAGCCAGGCTGCACTATACAGCAAGACCCTGTCTCAAAAGAACAAAAATATGAAAACAAACATAAAAGGACTCATATTTATCTTGTGACACTAAGCACCCCAGGTAGAGACGACGCTGTGAAGTTCAGTTTTCCAGGATCTGTTCCTGGAAGCAGATCTCCCTCCGACGAACTTGAATAAATGCTATCTGGTCCCAGTCAAAGCGAATTCAAATAGAAAGCAGAAAATTCAGGAAAAAACTAAAATTTGAAGTCTCTCTGGAGAGTTGAAGCCTGAGAGAAAACCAACAAAAACCTGCTCTCCTGTGGTCACCCAGAGATACTGTCAACGCTTTGAGCTCCCTGGTGAAGTTTGTGCGTAACTGGGGTCTAAGTTAAAGGAGTCAGAGAACCTAAAAGCTCTCTGCACTCCTTCCCATGGTCCTGAGTTTCCTTCCAGGTTCTGCGCTGCGACCAGAAAAACCGGAAAGGGGGTTCGGACACTTAGGGGGCCGGGTGGGAAGATCAAAAGCCGAACTGGAGGTAGTAATGACAGTTGGGGGGGGGCTGTGACGTAACTGCATTCTACTCCCTCCCGATCCTCCAGCAGGTCTGTGCCCGGCCCTCCTCTCCATTCCAAAGGGGAAAGGGACCGAGGTCCTCAGATTTGGGGGCCGAGAAAGTCCGGTTTGGGGCTCCTAGAGGTGAGGGGCCGAGTCCTGAGTGGGAAGCCCCGGGAGTCACCGCCAAAGTCACCCGGGGGCCCGGAGAGGGCGGGGGCTGGGCAGCTGAGGAGGCGGGGCTGGCTAAGGACTTTAGTGGGGGAACTAGGGGCGTCCGGGGTCTCACCCCGTCTGCCTCAGGAATGGCACATACTCCGCCCACAGCCCGACCACCAAGGAAACTCGGGCTGGGTCATGAGCTCGCGACCGGGCGCGTTTTACCTTTTTTTTGGCCGCAGCCAATTTCTTCTGCCTGGTTTCTTCCGACATCCCGGGGCAGGGAGGGGGGAAGGGGTGGGGCCACATCACCACAATCCCATCAGCCACTGCGGAATTTCTTCCGATTGCTACCGCGTCAGGACGCTGCCCAGCCACAAGAGGCGTAATGTGGGCGGTACTAAA